AGTAAGCAGAGGATGAAGGCAATACTTTTACTTTGAGTCCCTATCTCTACCTAGGAAAGATCTTTTCACAGGAAGAAGAGATGGGGTTTCTGACACCCGGCCCAGACAGAGATTGCCACAGATAGTCTTTTGTGGGGTGCGACCTGGGTATCTTTGTCAGAATTATAAGACAGTCTTTGATCCCCATGCCTGTACCATCACTTCTCTGCCTTGGGGAGCCCCAAAACTTATTCCTTTTTGTATCACAAGATACAAATGTCAACCATCCAGCCCATCTTGAGATTCATATTTTGTATATGGCTCCTGTACTTCTGTACATTGATAAATTTGTATGCTTTTTCTCCTGCTAATTTGTCATATGTGCTTATTTTATACAATAAAATTATCAAATCGTCATGGGAAAAGAAAATTTTTAAACTTTTCTACACAAGTACTGGTTGTATTTCATTGGAAGTTGTAAATACTTCCCTTAGCTCTCTTCTTTCAGACATTTTCCCCTTCTCCTCTTCTCGGAGGCCCTGTCCTTCCCCTACATCTGAGGGTCGCAGACCCAGACTGGCAGTTACACTCTCTGTGCAGGTGGAACTCTCTCCTGGAAACAGCATTTGCCTTCCCAATAAACTCCCTGTTGTCTTGAAGCTGTGAACACACAATCATTACCTTCTGGAGGCTCTAGCCCAGCCTCTGTCACAACAGATGCTGTTTGGGAAAAGCTGAAGTAACTGCTGTAAATATTGGTGGAAAACTTGACTGGTGTCACTGGCATATCTATACAGACATAGCTGCTCAGGGAGGAATCCCCTGGGTGTAGAAAGGACAACAGGAGTAAGATTCTGCAAGCTGTTCTTTTGACTCTTCCCAATCACAGTTTCTAGCAAGCTCTGATCATTCCAGGTGTCTCAAACACCTTGCCTTTATACAGTTTTGTCCTAGTAGGCCCCTGGCAACTTCATAGGAGTATGCAAGGTTTTACATAACCACATTTCTGCTGCACAAGTCTAGGTTGAAGGCATTTCAGAAAGCAAGGTACTGCCATAGATTTATGCTTGTCTGCAGTGCTCAGTGGGGAATTCTGATCAGGTGGCACCAATATCCTTCAGTTTTTCAGTCCTTGAAGAAGAAAACCAAGGAAAAGCCAATTCAAGAAATATTCTGCATTGGTTCATGTTGAGTTCCTGGAGTGGACTGGCTGCTCATCAATGGTCTCATAAAGTTCATTCCAGTCAAATAAATTCAGTTGCTGAACTCTTTGTTCAGGGTGACATTTAAGCAAAATGCACAAAGGATGGGCCAAAGCCAGGGTGAAGAGGAAGGATGGAGTGGGTGTGCTGTCCATGTGGCCTAGCAGACAATGACTTGAAATTGTAAGCAGGTAGGAGGAAGCAATTTAGAAAAGAGACCCACAACTAAAGCAATGCAAGCATCAGAACTGGGGGAAGGGGGGTTCTGAACCAAGTCACTGGAAATATTTTTAAATAAATCCAGGTGTCAATAAATAAGCCCCCAAAAGATAAAAACAATAGTTCATTTAATATATCCATATACTATTACTGCCATACAAGTTACACATTGAAAGAAAACACTTAAACTTATGTAACTGACAAAGAAATGGTATCTGAAATACACATAAAATTTAGTGGTTTAAAATAACATAAATTTATTCTCTTATAGTTCTGGAAGTGAAAAGCATGAAATCAGTTTCACAGACCAATGTCAAAGTGTCAACAGGGCTTATTCTTTCCAAAGGCTCTAAGGAAAAAATCCATGTCCATTCCTTTTAGCTTCCACTGGCTGGCCTGTAATCCCTAACCCCATCTTCAAAATTCATCATTCCAGACTCTGCTGTTGCCAATGAATTGTCTTGTCCTTTGATTGTGTGCTTCTGAGTCTTTCTTATATGGACCAATCATGTCATGCTCACCCAGACAAGCCAAGAGAGTCTTCCCGTTCCAAAATCTTTAATTTAATCATAGACAGATACAGAAAAAAAAAAGAAAATGTTTTTCCTATTCTCTCATTCAACAGTCAACACTTCTGGGCTGGCAGAGTGGCTCAAGAGTACAGTGCTTGCCTACCAAGTGTAAGACCCTGAGTTTCAAGCCCCAGTTCCACAAAAAAAAAAGGAAGAGAACATTCAACACTTCTGTGACCCCAGATGTGTGGGAATTTCTCCAATAATTCTCCAATGGACATCAAATGAGGTTCTCTAATTCAACTTAATTCTGTATAAGAGTGAAAGATATAAACAATTGCTAAACTGTTGTGACCAGAACAATGAGGTATTGCCACAGACTTGGCAACCAGATCAATGTAGAGAATCAGGATGCCAGACCAGGTTCACAAGTATATGAAAACTGATATATGACAAAAGTAGCATTGCAGGTCAGTGGTCCAATAGGAAAAATTCAATAAATGTTACTGAGGATAACACATTAGTCATATGGGAAAAATTAAACTGAATCCCTATTTTCATATAAAGAAATCAATTTTAAGTGGTTGAGAAGCTTAAAAGTGAAAGGAAAAATGTTAACTCTTGTCAAAGAAAATATGGAATATCCTTATGAGCTTGAGTAGGAATACAGAAAATCACAAAAAACCTGTAACCATAAAATCAAAAGACTGATGACTAATACATATGACTATATTGCATTTATAAATTTCTGTTCATTGGAAAAAACAGGGGGGAGAGAGAGAGAGAAGAAAAAAATTTAAAAAGAGTTATTTACACTTTGGGAGAAAACATTTGTGAATCACTTAACTGACAAAGGAATAGTATCTAGATATATACAAAGACTCCTAAAATTCAGTAATAAACAATCAACTCAAATGAAAAATGGACAAACATCATGATCAGGCAAATTTTCGTGAAAAGGAAACACTCCATTGGAAATAAACATTTGAAACGATTCAGTCTCATTAGCAATTTTTAGGTAATTCAAATTAGGTTTGTGACACATCAATATACACTTAAGTTGCCAAAAGTTAAGATATCCGACAATGATATCCTGACACTTGCTGGCATTCTGGGAGGTGTCCCACATGTGCCTATGACAATGTGTGTTTTGGAGGTAGGGTTGATGTAGTCTTGTGGATTGTTTCCTCCTCACATTCTTATGTTCAAATCCTAACCCTTTGTTTGGAGATAGGGCCTCTACTAAGGTAATCATGTTGAAATGAGATCATGATGTCTTTGTAACTAGGGGAAACTTGGGCACAGGGGCACAGACAGAAGGAAGATGAAGTAAAGAAGTCATCATCTACAGACAGGATTAGTCACCATCTACAAACAAAGGAGAAAGGCCTGGAACAGATTCTCCCTTACAGCTCTCAGAAGAAACCAACCCTGACCACATCTTTTGGACTTCTATCCCGTAGAAGTGTGGGACAGTAAATTTCTGTTGCTTAGGCTAGGCAGTCTGTGGTCCTTTGTTACAGTGGCCGTAGTAAACTAAGACAAATTGGGATCTTCTTTGTCTCACTCAGTCCTAGAAGGCTGGAATTGTATTTGCCATTTGCAAAAGGTAGGAGTGCGAACCAAGGTTGTGAAATGAATTGAGAAGTACCCCACCATCTGTGCCTCTCACTGTGTAGGGTCTCACTGTGACCATCAAATCAGGGTAGGGTTCTTTTATCTGTTTTCAACTATGAATGAACGAATGAATGAACGCTGAGTAACTGTCATCAACTCCATGATACCCTCCACTTCAGCCCCATCCTGCAAATACCTGGTCCTGGACCAGGCTCAAAGTAGAAGCTCACAAAGTGTGTCAAATGAATATTTTTACTTAATATACTCTTTACCTGGACCTGAAGTCCCATTTCCTTTACAGCATCCCCTTCCTCCAGTCTTGCCACAATATAAAAAAGCAGTCATGGCTACTCAGAGAGGACCTGGATGCAGAGGGGCCTGAACAATAAAGCATGTACGGGCCAGGAAGACCCCCACTCCCACCTCACGACCCCCCCACACACACACACACGTACGGGCCAGGAAGACCCCCTTGGGGAGGGGTCAGCCGCGAGGCCAGTGTCCTCTGCTGGTCTCAACCCGCTGCGGTCGGCCGGGCGCAGCTGCCCACGGGGGAGCGGAGGTCGACGACATGTTGGGCCTCTGGTTCCGGGTGGGTTTGGCGGGAGGGGCGCGGGCGGGGCGGCGGGGCAGGAAGGCGCAGGAGGCGGTGTGGCCGCGGCGGGGAAACGTCCGACGGGACCAGGGAGCCCGGGCGGGCGGGACAGCGCGGGGCTGGGCGCGGGCATAGGCCTCCTGCTGGGAGAAGAGGGCTAAGGACCTCTCCTGGATCTCGCCGACCTTGGGTTGGGAAATGAACCCTCTGACCTTGCGGGACACGGTGGAATTGAGCTTGGTTGAAAGGAGGCTGGCCACACCTCTGGCAAGTGAGTGCCCAGGCCTCTTTTTGCCTGCCCTGGACGGTGTTGGTGAGTCCCCAGACCCTAACATCATGGAGCATCCATCCCCCTATTTTGAGCTACCCCATCCCTATACTACCCTAGCTGAATCAGAAGAGGGTGGGAGGAATGCAGAGGTGAGTCCTGTCACCAGTCCGGTTCCCTCAGCCACCACCACCTTGGGAGGACATCACAGCCATCTCCTCCTCTCTAAATCTGACCTGAGACTTGGGGCCTTCATACCAGATTACTTGTTACAAGTAATGCCATTACCTTTCAACTCGGGGGGAGGGGACTGTCAGCATCTGTACCCTTGGCTGTAGCCAGGATGAAGACAGATGGGCAGGAGGAGCCTGGCATACATTAGGACTCTGGACACTAGCAGTCTGACCTTGTCCAGGGGGCCTGTCTTACCTGCCACTTTCTCTGACACTGTGGTTCACACAAGCTCAGACTACCTTCTGTTAGTACCATTCCCACTGCCTATTCCTTTGAAACATGGCACAGTTTTTCCCATGGCATTGGCATGGGGAGGATGTTCTGTGTCTGACAACTGCCCTGCCCAGGGTAGGCAAGACCTGAGGTGCTCTACTCATACTCCTAGGATCCATCCATGCTGTTGGCCATCACTGTCATCGGGGTCACAGTGCTCATGTTGGCCCTGAAGAGCATAAACTCCAGGAGGAAATACATTATTACTTTACAAGACCCTGATACCACATACCTGCTGCCCTTGATTGAGAAGGATGTACTGTCTCAGCCGTACCCCTTGCCATGGTTGGGTGAGAGAGGACCAGAACAATGGAAATGCTGGCTGGGAAGTTGTGGTGGGTAGACAGGCATTTCATAGACAAATGGAGTTCTTTCCAGGCATCTGAGGTAACCAGCAAGGCTTCCAGAAAACTGACAGAGCCTGCTTCTATTTTGTTTTACTAGCAAATCAGCCACAACACCCAGAGATTCCGCTTTGGATTGCCCTCGCCTGACCATGTCTTAGGGCTTCCTATAGGTGAGCAGGCTTTGGTGTCACCTCTGAGGACTAGGTACTCTATCAGAAACAGGTTTCTAACCTCCTGGGATGTAGAGGCTGCCCTGATACTCTTCCCAAGCCATGTGAGCTCAAGGAGGTAGGAGGATAGACTTGGGTACCATACATTCTGTTTCTTTACTGTTCCATTTGGGCTGACACAAAAGTGGTGGCTTAATGAGCATTGAAAAGAAGCCTAGAGTCAGAAAATCTAAGATCTCATTGAAGGCTCCCTGCTAGGCAAACTTTAGCAAGTTCCTTTAATCTATGAAGTGGGAGTGTCCAAGCCTGTTTACATATCTCAGTTGGGTTGTGAGGGAAGGAGATTGATAGATATGCAGATTCAGAAACTGAAAAGTGTGGTGCACATAGGAAAAATGGGAAGAACTTATGTTTCCCTACAATCAGGAGAAATTCCCAGAATGTGTGGTGAGACAGGAGGGAGGCAGGTGCTCCATGTGGATTCTCTGCAGCGGTCTCAGACCCACATAAGGAGGGAACCATCGTGGACAGAGTCTAGCCATCCTAGAGTCCCATTTCCAGTCGGTAACACCTCTAGGTACCTCAGTCTTCCTGAGGTGGAAATCCCCAGGGCCTCAGAGAAGCTGTGCACAAAATGCTTTAGCTGATTGTTTCCTATTGGAGACCCTAGTCCTTGGCCTACTTGTCTCAGACGCACAGATGATGAAATTGCACAGTAGGAAGCCAGCTGGCCCCTGAGCCTCCTTGCTACTCCCTCACTCCATCTCTTTGCCTAAGAACACTGTGTCTTGCAGCCTTCCAGCTCCCTGGCCAAACACTAGTCTTGTTAGCAGAAAGCACAAAGAATGAAAACCTTGAGAAATAGAACTTCTTAGGAACTCCTATTACCTTCTCTCTTCTCAGTATGGTGAAGGCTTGGTGGTCAGTGGGACAAGATAATTTAGTGGTCTGGGAGCTCAGCTAAAGAGAAACTGGCTAGAGATGGGGACCAAGGGATCCATGGACAGCCCATTTTTTTCTGGAGATGTTCCCAGGCTAGGCCTAGGGTGGCTGTGTCTGCAGGAGCCTTTCCAGGTTCCCATTCTCAGGTGAGCTCTCAGAAGGAAGCTGCAGTCCCAGGCCTGTATTCCTGAGTATCCCCAGGATCCAGCCTGGCCATGGCTAGTCACTGAGGCACTGTGTTTGCCTCAGGCTTCAGGACCTCCTCAAAGACTCAGACTTGTGCTCTTGAAGCAACTTCAAGAACCAGCCCCTTTATTGTCCCAGTCCACTATTTTTCCTCTTTTCTCTCTCACCTGAAGTTCCCATTTCTCTCTGCAGATCCATAACCTGTGGACCAATGTCCTGAGTATACTGTTTCTACTGTCTCAGAAACTGTCACAGAGCTTTCTCCATGGCAACACCTGTCCTCATCACTAACCTTGGTTCTCTGGAGTTTCTATTTTAGATTCATCAAAAATCTGAGGGGCCTAGCTTGACATCTGACAGATTTATTGATCTTGGGCCCATCAAAACTATTAAATTCTACTGTGGAAGGATAGAATATATCAAAACATCACTACTAGCTGGTCATGGTGGCACATGACTGTAATCCCAACTCAGGAGGCAGAAGCAGGAGGATCAAGAGTTTAAGGACAACTTGGGCAAAGTTAGCAACACCCTATCTCAAAAATAAAATATAAACAAAATGTCTGGGGGTATGGAAGAGCAACTGCGTAGCATGCTCAAGACCTAAATTCAATTCCCCATACCACAGAAACAAAACAAAACTCTCATTATTTCTTCTCAGTAGAATATAAGACCAGGAAAGTACAACGCTATTGCTTTATTTGGGCCAAGGGTGTCCAGATGTTGGGGCCCTATAGCATCTATGAGCTCTTTGCCAGGCACAAGGATAAAAGTGTGGTAGCTATGACTTATTCATAGACACCAGTGATACATCCAGTTTAGGGAGAAATTGTGAAGCCCACATAGTTTTCTTTAAAAGGGAAACACTCTTTTCTATTTTTTTAATACTCATCATCCAACTCTAATCAGCTTTTCTTGCTCTGAAAGTTATTTACACTATGATCACGGCTGGGAAGTTACATCATTCTCCACCCCTGTCTACCCATTATTTTTTTGTGATGTTGGGGATTGAACCCAGAGCCTTGCACATGCCAGGCAAGTGCTCTACCAGTTGAGCTATGCTCCAGTTCTATCACTCCTGTTTTGTATATGAAGAGACAATCCCAGAGAGATGAAGTGGACTGCCCAGGGTAGTACATTGGAGTATCAAGGGCAGCCTAGGATCCAGGTATCCTGAATTGGGGCTCCTTGACTGCCAGCCCCCATTTTACAGCCTGCTCCCTTCATTGATTCTCAATCCTTTTAGAAATTCCTGCAGGGGTCCTATGTAGGCTAGCCATGCTCAGACTGAACAATTGATGCCTTTTCTCTAGGTAACCATGTCCATCTCTCGGCCAGAATTGATGGTGACGTTGTGCTCAGGGCTTACACCCCCATCTCCAGTGATGATGACCGAGGCTTTGTGGACTTACTTATAAAGGTAAACAATGCCCACTGTGCCCAGCTGCCTGAGCTCCCAAGCTTATTGATTGTGGTGGAGTGGAGGGCAGTGCTTTTTCTCTGAAGGGACTCATGCGCTTTCCAGTAGTCTCATTTAACAGCAGAGCTACAGTTAAGTTTGTGGTGTCTTCAGGGATTGCCTACAGTAAGTGTGAGGGCAGAATGTTTTTCCTGCGTGGCTTCCAGTAGCAAATGCATTTTCCGGTTGTATGTGGCTATGGCCATAGGTCTGAAAGTGTGAAAACTATGCTGTCTTGTTTTTCAGATCTACTTCAAAAATGTACACCCCCACCATCCTGAAGGTGGGAAGATGACTCAGTACTTGGAGAACATGAAAACTGGGGACACCATCCTTTTTCAAGGGCCATCTGGATGCCTGTTCTATTGTGGGCCAGGTACTAAAAGGTTAATACTGGGTCTCCAAATGGAAGAAAGAAGAGTCCTGCAGTTGCTTGTATTGTTCTCAGCTGAGTCACATGGGCTTGTCTTTTAAGTCTTCATACATTTATTACAGAAATTCACTTATAATCATTTCTGTCACTCACAAGACCCTAAGCTTCAGGTCCTCATCACTATGTCTCCAGCACAGATTCATAACAGGTGTTTACAGATATGAATGATGGAGGGAGTCCACTTTGATTCATTCACTCAGATTCATCCTTTACTGCGGTGACTGAGAGTACTCTGTGAGGTTCCATATCAACTTCAGGTTGTCTGTCTCTCCTTAGAAGAGAACGCCAAGTGATGCCCTGTGGAAGCCCAGACTTTATTTCTACTTTGTTCCCTGGTACTTCAGGATTGGCCAGGGAAGCCATTGTGCTGATTTGCTGGATTTGGGTGCAGCCTGTCCCTTACTTAGGTGCACTTGCCTACTGGGAGTCCTATGGAAAATCAGCAATTTTTTGTAGGCTCCCAGACTAAAGCTGCAGAAGCTAGAAGCATCTTTTATGTTTCTAGGGAGACTTGCAATCAAAACACACAAAACAAGCGAGTCTGAAAACAAACTGGTCTATCACCTGGGAATGTTTGCTGGGGGAACAGGTAAGAGGCTTCTGTGGGCTTCTTCCAGAGAGTAAACCTTAGGCCCATTCTGACTTTGGGGGTATTTGATCCCAGAAAGGATAACATGAGAGATTCCTCCCTGGTTATGATGGTGGGAATGCAGAGTGGCAGATAATTATACCTGATCCTGTGTCCCCTGCTTCCCTTAACCAACATGGTGGCTGTCTGGTCTGAGCAGGCATGCCTATGGTCTCCAAAGTCCTCTGGGATCTAGGTCAACCCCTGCTCTCCCCATCCCTTGAGAATGAAAATAAATCCTTAGGAAGACCTACAGAGTTCCAGGCACCATCATAGACACTTTTAAAACCATCACATTTACTTGCCATTTAATTCTATTTTGTAAATGCGGACATTGAAGAGCTCAGAATGCTCTTTCCATTTTGCCATATGAAAAGGAAAAATGGCTTTGACTTAACTGTTGCTTTAAAAAGGAACACCAAAATAAAGGATTATTCTCCACTTTGAGTTTGGGGAACAGAAGTAAAAAAGGTATAATTGGGCCCAAAGAAAACTGTTAAGCCACTGCTAGCCAGGGACTGTGTCATCAGAGACAGGAGAAAGCTGCCCTGCCATGAACTGTGTTTCAGGCATTACACCCATGCTGCAGCTCATTCGCCACATCACCAAGAACCCCAGTGATAACACCAGGATATCCCTCCTCTTTGCCAACCAGGTCAGTTCTGCCCAGTCAGCCCAGAGCTCGCAGGGGTAAAATGGAATGTTTGCCAAGCTGGGGCTCTGCATTCATTCCTCCACTATTGACTGTGTGCTGCTTGGGGGCGGAAGGCTTTGGGAGGGCTTAGTAGGCTCAGCCAAGGCCACTGGCAGCTGTCTCCTCAGTCAACTGTGAGCACCGATGTTTCCTTCCTTCCTTCCTTCCATCCATTTCTCTGTTTTTCTGAGTTTAAGATCATAGATGCTTCCAGTGGAAATTTTGAGAAGTACAGAAGAACAAATATTTTTGCTTATCTTTTTGTCTTTCTAAACATGTGATATATTTTCATGTATATATTATATATTCTTGTATATATTTACATAATAGTTTTCATTTAGCATTACCATACAGGAATTTTCTTATTAATGTTACATTTTCATCATAGTCTATGTCAAGTTGCACTATAACTTACTAACTCTCCTACATTTAGGTTCTTTTCAGTTACAAATGATAAATCATACAAAGATGAATAATTGTCCCTAAGCCTAATTACTTTCAGATTATTTTCTGAAACAGAATCCCAGAAGTGAAATTCCTAGGGCAAAAGTCATGAAGAGTTTTAACAATCCAGACCTTCTGAACACTTTCTTAGAGCTTGTGACAAATGACCTTGGCTCCTTTTTCCCGGTTGAGGGTCCAGACTGTCTTCCTTTCTTTGAGATTGCAGGTGCTGCTCTTCCACATGACTTTTTAGTGCCTCCTTCCTTGCAGAAGATCACAGGCCTGCACTGAGTTTGTGACAGTTGGATGTATGGGCTTGATACTAGTGTGGGTGCAGGTCTTCTGTGAAGTCACCTGGCCCATACAACCACAGTCTTCTTACAGCTGGAGGGCAGTCATGCCACTGTGGACACCTCCACACTCCCAGCAGCTCATTGCATGAGAGGGTTTGGTCTGCAGAAGCAGCATCAGAACCCTTGTTTTCTCTGGTGTCTACTGCAAGTCCTCAAGCTAGTATAGTGGCCGCTTGGGTAAGAAGTATTGACTCAGGTGCTCAGTCTGGAGAACCTGAAGAATATCCCTGGAGAAGCCTTTCTAATGTTGCTTCTTTTCTAGACAGAGGAGGATATCTTGATGAGAAAGGAGCTTGAAGGAATTTTCAGGACTAATCTAGATCAGTTCAACCTGTGGTACACCCTGGACAGGGCTCCTGCCAGTATGATCCCTGCTGCCCTCACTCAGTGTGGATCGGCTCCAATCCTCAATCCACCTCAAGGACTCATGGCTGGTTTTTTTGTTTTGTTTTGTCTTGTCTTTCTAGGCCTACACTTGATGGTTAGGTATGGAGTTCTGGGTCTATATAGAAAATGCAAGGATTTGAGTGAAAGAGTATCCCATCTGTACTCCACATTGCACTAAATGTCAAAAGGGACACTGAGCCACTGGGTTGCCCTGAACAACTGCCCCCTCACCCCAGTCATCACATGCATCATACATACCATTGCTCATGGCCACTGTGCCCCTCACATCTGGACAGCAACGCTCAGCTGGTGGAACTTTAGCCAGCACCCCAGCAACCATCATGTACACTGCACCCCACCCACTGGCCTATCTTCTACACTGTGCTACCTTGTCATATGGCTCACTGCCAGCAGACAGCACTACTCAATCAACACCAACACACCCTACCCCACAGCTCCAGTTCGCTGCCTTGATTCACACTGTATCCTGGTTCACTTCACCATGGTGTTCTCTGCCCTCCTCAGTGCTTTACAGCAGCCCCACACCAGCCCCTGCCCAGAATCTGGAGTAAATACTACAGAGAGCTGAGACACCCCCTTCTTCATATCTGTTTCTCAGGCTTTCTAAAGAGAGCATTAGTGCAGAGACTTCTCAGCCTTTGTAGAGCAGCCTGGTCTCTCCCTGGCTCTGAGATCAGGGACATTCTTGGCATCCCACAATTCTTTCCTGCTCTGCTTCATTACAGGCTGGAGGTACAGTTCAGGCTTTGTTACTGCCAACATGATCAAGGAGCACCTCCCTCCCCCTGGGAAGGCCATACTCATCCTGGTGTGTCGCCCACCACCCATGATCCAGACAACCATTTACCCCAACCTGAAGCAGCTGGGTTATACCAAAGACATGATTTTCACCTACTAACACCTCCCGTGTTCCTAGCAAGCTTGTTGGGCTCCTGTTTCAAAGTGAGTTTGGTTTCACTGTGTTAAATGGGAATGTTTTCAAAAGCACCTCCTCATGCACCCTTGGGCACACAAAGTGGTGCTCCCCTTTTGGGTGTGGGTCTAAGAAGAAGAACTCAGGAGCTGGAGACAAAGTGGTTTCGGATGCCTCCTGGCTTGGAAGCTGGAAAGAGTTCCATTACAGTATCTTTCTCCATTTAATGAAATAAATTTAAGTTCTCAGCAGATAGCCCACGAAGTGTGTCTCTGTGGGGGACCTGCTGGGCAGTCAGGAGGCCTTGTCTCCCCTACTTGAGAGTTGGCTTCTTCATGCCTTTGGGGTGTCAGAACTGGCAATGATGTTAGTGCCAGAGAATTCCAGCAGGATCCAAATGGGTCACATTAACTCCCACAAACCTCTCTTGAACTCCTCCCCAGAGTACTCTACTTTTGGTCAGACCTACAAGAGGACTCAGCCACCTTCTATGAGCAGTATTCCTTCTCTTGGGGGATCCTTTGAAACAGGAATTGAATTACACACACACACACACACACAACCCAGGGCAATAAATAATTCACAGGTTCCAGGAACCCCTTCTAGACTCCCTGCATTTTACAGTTGGGGGCATGGAGCACATTTCTTAACATCTTCTAAGTTCCAGGCTATGCACTGACATTGGCCCAGGATAGAGGTGGCTGCATTCAGAACTGTCTCAACTTGCACACAGGTTCTAGAAGCTCTGCCTTAAATCTCTTCTATCACTAAACCCAAATGATATAGGGATCACTATTGCCATCTGCTGTCCAGGGCCAATACAACCCTATGGTTTGGTTCTGCTACCTGAAGTGGGTAGCAGTTAGGCTGGGTTTCATATAACCCTCCAGACAGACCAGAAATCATGTGGGGATTTTGTTCTCTGAGTTACGAATGAGAAAACAAGATCAGAGATATAATTGTTCCCTGGTCATTTAGCTTTTAGGTAGCAGCGCTGACTTTAAACCTGAGTCTATTTAATTTCAAATTGTTCCCCTTTTCACAAAAAACTGGCATAACAGCAGTGTTGGAACTTAATGCTACTGGATTTTTTACTCAACATGTATGTGTATGATGGAGAAGAGAAAGAAGGGACAGAGGAAAGAAAAAAGAGGAATATAGCTCTAGAGAGTTCTCTGCAGTAGGGGTGTATGTATTACCCACAAGTGGGCAAACACAGGGATGGACTCAAAGAAGGCCTTTGACAACTTACCTGTTCATCCTCAGGGAATCTCTTACTCAGGGAAATACACAGATGAACACTTCAGGATAAGACCCTGCGTCAGATATTTTTCATAAAGACAGGAGTGGAGAATGTCTGGAGGGGACCAAATGGGAAGGTAACAGACCATGCTTGTAATCTGCCCTTTACCACTTCCACTATAGTCACTACTCTGGCCAACTCATTTCCAGGACATATTCCAGGATTGGTTTATAAGGTCTTTTTTGATTGGACTCTTGCTGACTTCATCAAATTTTTCATTCCCTGATCCTCACACTGTTGATTTCAATCTCTAGACCAGTAGCTCTCAAATGGGGGCGATTTGCCCCTTAGGGAACATTTGACAGGTCTGTAGACCTTTTGGTTGCCACAACCAGAGGAGATGACAGGAGGGTCTCCAAAGAGATCAAGGATGCCAGGCAGCAGGAGCCTGATAAAGAAGTAATTGAGGGCCAGGATTGGGGCTCATTGATAACTGTAGAGGCTGCTGTCCACAACAGGCATTCATTAGGTTTGTGTTGAGGGTGGGTATATGGTGGTACAATATGTAACTTCAAGGCAAGCTTTGAAGCATTCAGGGTCCAAGGCAGACAGCGCTGTGGGACAGAGCTGACCTCTAACTGGAACAGGAATGAAGGCTTCCTGAGAGACCTGGAAGAGATAGTACTGTGCTGGGCCTTGACAGGCAGGATTTGCCTCATGAAGAAGACTGGTAGAAAACTGGATACCACAGGGAGGAAAGGGCCTGAGCCAAGTTCTGGAAGGAACAAAGATTGAGCAGTCGGCTCACAAAGGCTGAGGATGAAGGACCCAAGATACTCATCTGTGGGAATTATGTAACTGAGGAGCTCTGATAACAGGGGTGACTGAATTAAAACAGTGCTTTGGAAAGGTCACCTAGGAGGTGGGGTGAATAATACCTGGAGGGACCACCTGAGAAGATGGAAAGACCAAGTAGACCAGCTGCAGTAATCAGATGAGTAATCATAGGGAATCATGGGGAAAGAAAGAGGAAGAGGCTGGCTGGGGAGGGGACACTGACTGGGTGCTCAGTGGTGCCTCTCTCTGAGGTGGGAAACATCAGAGAAGGAATGGGTTTGTCTGGGAAGATGGTGAGTTTCCCCTGGACATGTTGTTTCACATGGCCAATGGCCATCCACTAGGGGGAGCTGCTTAACCAGACATTGTACTTGAGCGTGAAGCAAAGGCTTTGGAGATGTGTGTTTCTGTGTCAGGTTGGATGTCTTGGTGTTCCTCTGCTCAGCCCAACTACACCCACAGTAGGTGAGAGGGGATGGAGGACAGTGAGGAAGGACCCCAGTGCTCTTGCTCTGCTCTCACCAGTCAGTTCCTGGGAATGGAAATACATGTTCCTGAGAAGCAGCTCCAGAGAGCTCCCAATTACATTTCACACAACCCAGTCACTATAGAACACTCAGAACAGTTTTTCAGAACTTTTTTTCTTTTCCCCAGCAGAGGTTCTATGAACTAACAGCTCTTCCCCCTTGATATAGGAGCCTCCCAGCTATCATCAGAAAGAGCAGGGGCCATCAAATCTGTTTTCAGATATCACACTGCTCTCCCTGCAAAAGTGGTCTGCAGTCCATGTATAAAAGTACAAAAGGTAGAAAAGCTGCAGTGAAGAGCAAGCACTGTTGAAAACATAGGGACACCAGGTCCACCTCCTGGAACCTGTCCCACTTCTCTGCTTTGCTCCTATCAGTACCCATGTCCCAGATGCCCCACCAGTACCATCTGGGCTCTGCAAATGGCTACGAGCCAGCTCCCCATGGAGGCAAAGACTTAGGGCCCCACACGTGCCTCTCTGGGCTCTCAGCCATGAAGAATGTCATCTCCAGTCATCAGAGTTGGGGGCAGCCAGGCGAGAGTCGTTCAGCAGCTGGTCCTGGCTCAGCAGAGTCTAAAAGGACATAGCCAAAGGGGCAGTTTAATAGCATTTTGGCCAAGGGTGTTCTGTGGCAGCTACATGGGAAGCAGAGGGGAAGTGGGTGTGTATGGTCTGGGTCTGACACCAGTGCCCTGTAAGTTCATGGTATTTCATGGACCCTGAACATTTAGTCAGAATAGACAGTGCTATTAAGATAAAAATAGGATGGGTATATAGCTCAGTAGTAAAGAAGTTGCCCAATTTGGCCAAAAACAAAAACATAAAAAGAAATTGCTCATCTTAGAGAGATAAGCTTGTTACTTCTTTTTTTTTTTAAAGTACATTTTATTTATTTATTTTCGATGGTACTAGGTATTGAACTCAGCACGAAGCAAACTACCACTTGAACCATACCTCCAACCAAAAAATTTGCTATTTCAAGGCCGCCGAGGGCCTGTTAGAAATCATAGGGAAAGTTTGTACAGAGCCATTTCAATGTGTGGCCCAAGAAAGTGAAAGAAAAAAAAAAAACAGTTGCATTAAAACGATCCTAGTTAGATCTGTGGAGACTTTCCTGTCTTGCCCTTAGTCTTCAAAATGTGCCTAAGTAGATCATCAAGCAATATACAGACACTATAGCTACCAGCTCAGGGATGGAAATGAAAGGCCTTGGGAGGTATGGGACCGCAAGGACAAATCTGTGTTCTACTGGTCTTTCTAATATGCCTATGATTATTGCTTGGAGGATATTATTTGCCCTGTTTTATAAATAACTAAACCAAGGCTCACCTAAGGTTTCAGAGCTAATAAAAGGCAAAGCAAGAGCTTGAACCATGTCTGCCTCACTCCAAAGCTGCTTCTCTTCCACTGAGACCAAGCTGCCTCCCCATGATCTAGTTTGTCCTCTTGAGCGTGGTAGGATCCCCTAACTTCCCGTCATTATGTCAGAGGAATTATGGGGAAAGTATGCATTGCATGGGAAGAGAACACAGGACAGTGTTCACTTGGCTGGAGATGAGGCCTGGACTTTGGGCTGACTGGACAGGTGACAGAGAGATGTTGAGCATCCTCCCAGCTCTAAGACTGGGAAGAGGACTCAGACCTAGTATGCTTTATCCAGCTAAAGGCTTGTGAGCATTCTGATGCCTTGTAGGTCCAACAGGCCTGTGGAGGAGGTCCGTGGGTGGCTGTCTGCCTCAGGGATGGCTCAGACTCCGACCCCTGTGCTCAGCATCATTCATTGCTCTCCTCCTGGCCTCCAAGGAACCAGCCCCAATGTGTGGAGAGGAGCAGAGTCCTACCGTAAGGCGGTGAATGTCTTGGGAGAGGAGCCCTATCTGCGTCACAGTGCCTTCCGAAGGTGCCATCTGTAAAATGGGCAGCAGCCTGGTCAGTACACACGGAAGCAGCCTGTGGTGTGCAGAGACAACATGCACATCCCATCCTGCCTGGGCCTGGCTTCTCTGGGACATGCTTTCTGGACGGATAGGCAAGTACTGAGCCAGGAACCAAGAAGTGGCAGGTGGTGGGCACATGCTGCTGCTTTCCTGAGGAAAGGTGTCCAGTGTCCTGCACTGCATGCACACATACTCCTGAGGCCCCACTCAGCATCAGCACTCATGGTACAGAGGAGCAGAGCACAGGCATTGTCAGAAGCAGCCCTTTTGCACATGTTCAGCGTTCCAGCATCTGACAGAAGTAGGGAATAAGGCCTCCAGGATGGTGAATAGAATGATGATTCCCAGGCATCAACAGGACTCTAGACACTGATGCCTGGTATAGGAGAGCATCTTGAGGAAGTTGCTGCTTCCTTGCTGCTCAGGAGTCTCCCTCCCCTGCCCTCCTCCTGAGGCATTTCTGGTATTCTTCTTCCCTAAGGCTATTTAAATACTGTAGACTTAGAAGAATCCTCTGTAGATTTAAAAGGCATAGAGTATAACCCCTTATTTTACAGGTGGGAAAGCAGGCCCACAAAGGGAACAGGACTTGTATGAAGCTGCACAGAGACTTAGTAACAAAACAGTTCCATGCAGGATTTGAAAACAGGCACGTGCAGAGTCTCTCACTAGGACATGATAAGAAACAAAGGAAAAGGTCTAGCCTCACGTGCTCTACAACTGCAATGACTAGATATTAGCACGTTATTCAGTGGCCCTGGTATTAGTATTGCCAGCTGGCAAGCTTGTATCCACATCTCTCAACCAGCTGGACTTCAGGGAATGTAGTGGCCTTGGGGAACAGGCCATGTCTGAGGCTGCTGGTAGTATAAGAAACAAATCTTAGTATCACCTCCAACTGGGGCAGAACCAAAGTGTCACAATAGGGTCATCGGCCTTGCTCTGCTGTAAGATTGTTATGGCACTGCTGTTATTTCTCTGTAGATGAGACCCACGGGACCCAGTGGAGCCAGACACCAGCCTGTACTGAGCTAGAATCTCATGAGCAGGAGCTCAGATTGGCATGACAGGTCTCTCTCTTAGTCTCTAGCCAGACACAGCCCATCTGGTGGGCCCATTATTAGCCAGTCAGCCTCTAAATCAAGAGACAAGATCTGTTCCAGCTCTGCCAGCACAGACAGACCATCCCCCACAATGATTATGAGAAGTGGAAAGACATGTGAAAGAACAGTCTTGCCAGCAAGGCTGCTTGGTTCATTGACCCCTACCCTTCACTAGGTGGCTCATGCTGCTAAAACAGAAACCATCTTTTGGCTCTGCATGACAGATGCCACCTATAGCCAGGATGTCTGTGAGATCTGAGCTTCCTCTCTTGTTTCACAGAGGTAAGTGGGGCCTCAGACAATAGGCCACAGACTTCTGAAAGATACAAAGAGGCGAGAAGGGGACCTTCCTTGTTCTGTTCCCTTTGGGATATCCTGAGTGTCGTGACTGAAGACCATGCTCGGTGCCATTAGGCTCCTAAAGCTCTGCAATCAGTAGCACTCCATCTCCAGATGGGGTTGGCTCCCCACAAGATTAAAGATATGCTGCACTACGCGATTTCTATATAAATATTGCTTTATTACCAGAAAGAAGTGACCACCTCTGTAGTAATGCACAACCCAACTGCACTGTCACCATGGCAAAAAAATCCATAATTCTTGTCCCTTTGATCTCAGCCAAGCCTCTGTGACTCACAGGCCTAAGGCACTGAACTCTTTCCTCAAATGGAGCAGAGGTGAGGTACCAGAGAGCTAAGCCTCATGGGATTGTCCAGGGTTTCCGGACTTCTGGACCTGTGTCCACATTCGTGTTTCCAGCAATGCTGAACATGGACACTAAGAATTACTAAAAAATGTAAAAGTGTGTTTCCTCCTGAGTGCACCTTTGGCGACAAACCCTGGCCCCTTTGTAGAGAGATATAACTGTGCATCCTGGTCACCCTTAGGGTGTAAAGAGAGACTAGCCTAGGAGCACATAATTGCTAGAATGTTCTCTGCAGTTCATGCACATGGCAGGGGTGGGGTGTGAGGTGCAGTTATATTGTGACACACGCAGTGTAACTGTGAGCTCTCAGGTGCATAGAGAAGGCAGGTGACAAGGACGTCAGCTAATCTGTCCCACCTGGTCCAGCCTATCCAGTTCGGGGGTGTCGAGGAGACTGAGGCCCCCATAGCCACTGTAGACCCTGTGACTGTCACTGACAGTATCACTGGGCTCCATCGGGCAAATGTAGTCTGTTGATTCATCGAACTTCTTTTTTCTCATGTTTCCAAAATGTGAAAATCCAAGTTTTCTAGGCTGAAACACAGCAAATACAGATTATAAGAAGGATATTATAAAACCAATACATTTAAGGGCAGGCTCAAGAGGAAAGGAATAAGGAAAATTATCAAAAAACTGAACCAAACAGAGCTCCTACAAATAAATGCCATGAGGAGAAAAGGTCAACAGATGAATAGTCATGAAAAAGAAGAGCTGCTCTTCCAAGACTGTGCCTAAAACTCATGCCTCACAACCCCTCTAGTGACTTTTCTATTTCTCAAGATGGGCTGGCAGGATCTATAGAATACCACAGTCCGCACTCAAGACCCAGCATGGAGGATTTGCCTGAATGCTGCTGCTGGCACCACATAGGGGAATAGCATACAGTGCCTTTGAGGGCTGCTGAGCACTGGACAGCCCTGAGTTTGCTGTCCTCCTTGCCTGAGCTGCACTCAGCACTGTTTCTGCTAGATTTCTTGCTCCCTCAAGGAAAGATATCTAAGTATGAGTTGCAGCTGTCCTTGAGGCACCAATATGCTTGCTAGGAACAGATTCTGTCTGTTGGCCTGTGGCCTAGGAAGGACATGGTCTAAATGAAGATATGGTTAAGGGTGGGCTTTGTGAGATTCAGGGAGCCCAGAGTATGATGCTGGTGTGTGGACAACTTCAGGTCAAAACAAGCAGGACCAACTGCTAATAGGAGAACTAATCCTTGTCTGGCGAGACCCCATGGCACTGCCATTCAGATTGCCCTGACTGAAGGAGACCTAGAACTCATCAACTTTGTAAGATGAGTAATGGCAGCTTTGGGGTAGAAAATGAGCTTCTGGCCACCCGAGAAGAAATGTTTCCTGCATGTGGCTTCTGTGTACAAAAACCTCTCTCTTCCTGGGACTTCAGACAGGCAGGAAACAAGCCTAACAAAAATGAACAGACCACAGGACCAAACTCCCATGGCAGAACCTGAGTGCAACTCCTCCTCCAGGCTGCACACACTGTTTTAGCTTTAGGCATTGAGCCAGCAGCTGTACATCATGAGGGCTGGAAGGCAGAACCATGTGGCCCACCCAGAAAGGTATGACAACTCACCCGGACTTTGGCTGTGGTGGTCAGTGGTGTGTAAGCTGTCGAGGCCATTTTATCTCGCTTTTCCTGTTCGGCCTCAGGACCAATCAGGGCATTGAATTTGGTGGTCAGGTGGCGCCTGAGAAGTGTCTTCTGTGGTGGGATATTGAGAAGCATAGCAAGGGTCTCCCCAGTGAAACGTGGCTCCAAGATCTAAGAAGAAACCACAGACAAACCTAGCCAGTGGTGATCAGAGATAGTACCAAGTGGGTGACCGTGAGAAATTGGTGCTTGGGCTTAGGTAGCCTCTAGAGCCTCTAGGGCTAAAGCTCGCACCTTTGTTGTATCCCACTCCCGTCTCTGCCCAGCATAAGGCCTGCTGATTGAGTAGATAGTAGCACATTTGTTGTGAGCACCTCATTTTCACAGACAAGCAGAGAACTGGAACCTCTTTGATAAGGCTGTTTCCCATGCTCCTCTGGATGACATCGAAGCCACCACCTCCACATTTCCCCTCTGGCTTTGTCACTTGACAGAGCTAAGTGGTGATAACGACCACATCAGGGAAGCAGAAAATTACATCTGATGCCCTCACCCTCACTTCTCCAGCCCCTGTGTTCCCCTAGGAACAGGTGGAGCTGCCTTGTTCAGGGTTCATCCTTGTGTAACCCCACTGACCCAGAATCCTCTGGTCTGAAGCTGAGGAAGTCCTTTCAGAAGCCATTTTGTTTTCCTAGGTATATAAATTCCCAACCACAAATTATAAAAATACTTTCTTGGAGACTTCAAATTATATACTGAGTTCAAATGGGTTTCTAGGATTTTCACTAGATGAAATATGTGGCCCTTCGGAAGTTAGTTTTGAGCTACCTCAATCTGTACCAAGGCGGATGGGAGAGCCCAGACAGCCACTCACAATGAGACCTCCATGGACACCACTCCCTCGAAGGTTGGGGGCATACTCTGCCAGGTCCACAGATCGCAACCACTCCATCACCCTGTGGTTTGACCATTGCACAACTTCTGAAGGAGAAAGGTTACTCTGTGAGAAGGAGAGTGAAGATGTTAGGCTTAATCAGTCCTGCCATGGTCCTAGATGGGATTTCAGTAACCCTATCTTAGAAGCCTCACCAGAAAAGTGAACCATCATCCCTAGCGGCTCAGGCCAGCCAGACCACTTGCCTGACAGCCTGCCCAGCTCCAAGAAATAGGGCTCTGACTTATTCTTGCAGCATTTTCTATATAAGATATCTGAATCCAGAATCCCGTCACACCCTAAGTTTCTGGCTAACTTTGGGATAAATAAATGAAGGCATACAGTTTTTCATTCAGTGATCTAACAGAATTTTAAAGAATCAATTGTGAGTCAAGTGTTTTACAGACTGAGGTCTCCCTGGTATGAATGCAGACAGATACTTATGCCCTGCGCTTTCATACGGCATCGTGGTCTTAAAAATGCTCAACACTGTGCCGGACACATAGAAGGAAAGCAAAACATATTTGCTGAACAGCAAGAAAATAGAAGATTGAAGACAGAAGTAGGTATTTTTAATCCCTCAGGAATTAGAGTTAGACATAGCTCATAGGATCAAAGGAAGAATGTGACTGATGAAACTTCAGTTCAGAGCTTACCAAGAACACATAGGTTTATAGAACATTTTCAGGTATTTCACTAGAATTCAGGTTGCCATGTTTACTTAAACTATCTCTTCTCTAACAAGATCTGCTCAAGAATACTTTGTATCTGGGCCTGGGGGTTGTTAATGTATATAGAAGCAGAGAAACCTATTCTGAAGTGTCCGATTCCTTCTCCCCTGGGTCTTCTCTCCTCTGCCTACTTTGACACCCATATTTCCATCTTGTCTTTCCCTGTTCCTTTTCTTTCTGACATCTCTTCATCTCCTTTAATCCTTTGATGACTTTGAAAGATTTATTGATACTACTCTGTAGCATTTGTCTCCCTAAGGGAGGATAGGAAACTAAAGGTTTAGTGGCTACCATGGGACACAAAATGCAGGCAACAGGGGTACAGGGGTATGCTGGGTTCCAGCATCCCCAGTATCACCATCTGAATGCAGTTGTTTATGATGATACCATTCTTATTTTTCCCACACACAGTATTTCAGGTGTCTTGGTTCAGGGCCACCTACTAGCTACTCACCTCATCAGCAGGACGCCGATGCAGGCAGTGGGGGTTGAACTTGTTGACATGCAGCACATGAATGGCACATTTGATGCTGAGATGATGCAGTTGGCTGGTGACTTTTAAGAAGAGTAGATCATTCTGGAGAGAAAAATTTTGGTTAATGAACCAGAGTTTCCAAAGTGACAAAGACCCCAGAGGTCCTTCTTAGACCAAGCTCAGACACATTTTGCACATTTCAGGAAGATACACATGGACATATCAACAGCTTCTCTTATCTTCATGGTTTGAGTTCTGCTACTTGGGACCTCTTTCTTATGTGACAACCAATACTGTTTCAAGGCCATAAGAATATGATGGAGGAGGAGAAATTCAGCTTAAAATAGCCACTAGGGTCACATCTGAGCTGAGTGCTCATAGAAACAAATGAATTATTTAAAGGAAAAACCCTTACCACAGTTAAATATTGCAGCATTCGTCCATCAACTCTGGATTCATGAAACTGGTCTTTATATTGGGGTAAGCCAATATCATCAAGCCACCCTACAAATACATAAAAAAAAAGTGTTAGAATTCATGAGAAGAAAGTGGGTACAAAGAAAAAAAAATGAATTATCATTTGTCTACGGTTTTATTCCCCCAAAGGTTTAGTAATCCATCTGCCTTTCACAAGCAGACAGCTGTTATTGAGGCACAAATTCAAAGGGAAATTCTCTCTACTCTTAAGAACTGCCTAAAACATGCTTAATACATATATGCCTGTCCTTACGTGTCACCCAAATGTGGTCTAGCAGTGCAGACTTCTCCTCCTGCTTGGTGTTGATGGCTTTCACTGCTAAAACCAGCTTCTTCCTGTGGAGAGGGTGCTTAATTCCTAGCTCCTGAAATTAAAAGATGAAGAGCAGATGTGAAATTTGGCAGGCAACTTGGTCCTCAGAGGGCAATGTGTCAGAGTGAAGATGCTCTGAGAAGGTTGTAGCACTTCTCTATACAATGCCCTGGGATGTCAACCTGTAGCTGCAGAGGGAATCTCAGCCTCCCCTGTGTGTATGATAGAGGGGTATGGGGGTGTTCGTCACTTCCCCACACATTGGTTTCCATGCATTGGTCGGGAGAGAAATGGGATCCTTTTTTGCCTATGCACAGTCCTTACCTTTTCCATGTCTTGAGGGGTAGCTGTAAGTAGTGTGTGTCCAGACGTCACCCACTGCCTGGCAAAGATCACGTACTGAGCCAGGCCGAAGTCTTCCAGCCATGCACACACACGCTCTGTGCTCCACTGAGCAAAGGGGGCATTGATATCACTGAGAAGCAGGGAAACAGTATGTTCCTGTTAGTGGGAAGCCTGAGGTTCTGCATATTGTAAAGCCTCACCAAAAAAGGAGCTATCTTTTAAAAAACAACCCTGATCATCACAACCTACTCATGTGAAGAAGACTCTAGAGTTTTCTGGATGACATGGTCTGAGTCCAGCCATGTTGAGCACAGGCCTGATCCTCAGGAGGGTGTTCACTCACATAGGTTCACATATAAGATCAGAGTGTGACTCCCTGAGGACGAACACCCATAGCTAAATTATTTTGCCCAAAAGACCCAACACTCTTTTTAGGAAATTACTTAGAAAACTAGGAAAAGACAGTACTCTAACATGAAAAGTAAAATAAACAGCCCCAAAGCAAATATCTTCTAATCAATAACAGCTAATACCTTATTTATTTATGAAATACTAGGGGCTTCACATTAAGAATCAACAAAAACTCAGTATTTATTTTTATTAACTTATTACTAACACTAGTATGAGAGGTTCATCGAGAATAAGAAAGAGCAGATATTAGGGAGGTAACTGATAGGAATGTTTACCTCACCTAAAATCCCAAGAGAGCTCAATAAGATGGCTAGTAATAAAATATGGGTATATACCCATATATACATACATAATATGCACATTACATGCCAAAATTCTTCTACACACCATCCACACACTGATACTATTACTTTTGTTTAAAAAAAAAAAAAAAAACTCTCACCCTTAGTAACCAAAATTATAAAGTGCCTGGGAACTGTATGGAGCCTGTGTTACTGTGTGGGGCCGGGGTCAGGGGGGTGCAGTATGGTGATATGGAAGCTGCAGCACTCGACTGAGCAGCATAAAGAAAGATATAAATAAGTAAAGAGCTAGATCATGTTCCTAGACAGGATGACTAGGTATTAAAAGCCATCATTCTTAAAGACATAAATTTTTCATTTAAAGCATGAATGTAATGGTACACTCAAAATCCACTAGTGCCTGTGGAGGAGGGTGGACAATGCAACTTCATATTCATTTTTTAAAATAGGCTTGATAGATGGCTAGAAATTCAGAAAGATCTCTTTCCAAGAAAGTATAGTTGTCCCCTGTATTTTTGAGGGATTAGTTCTAGGACTCCCATACGTAGCAAAATCCAAGCATCTTCACATCCCTTATGTAAAATGGAATAGTATTTACATTTAACACACGCATATCCTATGTACTTTAAATCATATGTAAATTACTTATAGTACCTAATACAATGGAAATGGCTTATGAATAGTTATCTACATTGTTAGGATGACAAGAAAAAAAAAGTCTATACATGTTCAGCAGACTATGCAACCACTGAAGGCCTGAGTACATTTCAATCCTCAGTTGGGAGAATCTGCAGATCAGAACACTTGGATATAGCGGGCCACCACACTCCTAACATGAGGAAGAAGAAAAAAAAATTTTTTTTGAATGCCTGTATGAGCTGTTCTTAAAGTGAGGGAATGCCTTAAAGGGCCAGAACAACAAGAAAGCACCAGCCATTCTAGAGTAAATGCAAGAGGTGCATTCCCCACCCTGGTTTTATCCTTGGGTTGTTTCTACAGTATCAAAGTCAATACCTCCTCAGCTTCTCTCAGAGCCAGGATCTCCCATTCCCTCTACCAGTGCCATTATAAACATACTAGGAAAACACTCAGAGATGACAGAGAAGGTACCTTTCATATTCAGCCAAACCATTTGTTTTTCATGTTCCAAAATGTCTTTCCAAGTTGCAATTCAAATGACATAACTGAGATTATCAACTATGCCACTCCCATTGTAGGACAGAGCACATAGCATATTCATAATTGCTATATTTCATTAACAAGTACATTCCTGACAGGAGAGGACTTCTGTTTTAACTAAGCATTTAAGAGAACCAAAAATGTTGCTTAGGATTTTGCAGATCTCATGACTACAAAGAATTTCCACAGACTAGCTGCTAGTTCTGTATATCTCAAAGAAGTTTCATTTCTGCTAACCCACACTTCTAGTACAGATTGCCAGAGGTCACATTCATATTGGGACATGACCTCTGATTTGCATCTTTGTAGGAGTGCTGGGCAACTTGTCACAATGGGAAGCAGGAGTAATTATGGAAGTCAATTTGCATATTAAGATAGCTAGTTAACTAAATGTAACTAAATGAAATAATGAAAGACCACAAACCACATATCTATATCCTACTAAACCCAAACTAAATGGATTGCCAACTCAACTTCTCCTTAGCCAGATCCCCCAAATCCCCATGGCTATTCTATCATCATCTGATATAAGGGACAGTTTAGACCAAGGGAAAACTGGAATAAAAAGAGTCAGCAGTCTTAAACTGGCTGTATTTAAAATACTTTATTTATACAAAATTTTCAAAACACCTGGGTCAACATTTTGATTGGATACTCTCTGGACCTTAGAAGGGGCCCCTACAAATAAGAGTCTTGGAAGAGTAAGCTTTCTTACATTCATGATAAATACTCGGACTATGAATGTGGGAAAAATGCAATAAGATGTGGCCTGGGGTAGTGAAGTAATCTGATTGGAGACTTCTCATAAAGGCAGAGTTCTGTGGGCAACACCTCAGTACATCAACTCAGAAACCCCCTCCACAGAGACAAAATCCACCGTGTGGCTCAAGAACCTGTCTGCCTTAGCACTTTATTGCCTGTTTTTTGGAGGGGAAGGGCAACTCTTACACTAAACTCACATACTAAAAAAATCCCTAAGTAGATTAATTTAAACACAGTTTTTTTTTTTAACATATCATGGAAATGATATAAAACAAAATAGTAAAAGAAATCACAAAGGAAAAGTTGATGAATCTTATTATATATAATCATAAAAATTCTAAGTATTACAAACAAAAGTAAAATTCTGCCCCAAGCCTAAAAATACTCTGTCACAATTATTAGACATGGCTTAATATCTTAACATATAGAAAGCAGGTAGAAATATACAAGAAAGATATTAATAATGAAACAAAATTGGCAAAAAATTCATTTCATGACATTGTCTGCATTTTATGATAAACATGTTTCATGAAAAATATGAAAACTAAATTGACAATAGAAGTGTAATTTTTTTAGAGGTCTGTAAAAGTGGAGAAATTTAAAGCAAGAAAAATGCAAATGTTTAATTATGTGGGTGTAACAGGCTCTCTCTACAGTGTGTTGATTAGAATGTGAATTGGTAAAACCTTACCTGGAGGGGAAATAAAGAACAAATAAAATTTGTTCTTCTATAACCTGAGAGAGAGTTGCTACATAATGTTATTACCAAATATATTTTAAAAACTAATTTTTTTTCATTGGACAAAAATGGATTGGGCCTGGAGGCTTTCAGTAACAAGTACTATTCCTATAAGAATATTGGTGGCAACACTTTTTTAAAGGTTTGCCTTATAAAGTAAATACCAAAGGATTTTAGCATACAATTATATCAAATTTCTGCTTAAGGGTAATAACAGCCTTTCTTTTCCACCAGCAAATTCATTTTTGTACCATAAGCACTGTTAAGATAAACATACCAATCTCAGGACCTCTTCATTCTTATTCCTTTACCAGCCATTGTTGTTGTTAACAAAGCACAAAGCATTCCAACAAAGCAGCTTTTGGGTTGGAATTGCAATTCTTTTTCCTTTGGCAGAAACAGTTTCTGACTTTGGTTACTCCCTACCCTAAAGAGACTGGCAGAATGAAAACTGGCTCCCTCAACATGCAGTCCTACTACAGGAAACACCTAAAGGGCCTCTGAAAAGTTCATGTATCTTTACCCCTCCTTCTATAATCAATCCTTAAACAAATAGCCAGAAACAAAGATGAATCATTTAAGTTTACTTTAGCTTAATTTTTTCATCTCAGGAAAACAAAAACATCAGTAATGTCTAAATCTTAAAAATTCCTAAGTAAATTAGCATATCTAATTATGAAATATATAGGTAAACTTTCTTTGGCTTCTGAGACTGTGTCCTTAACTTCAAATTATACTACAGAGCCATAATGACACAAATATCATTATGCTGTACAAAAACAGACATGAAGACCACTGGAATAGAATAAGAGACCCAGAAATAAAGCTATACAGCTACAACTATCTGATCTTTGACAAAGAAGCTAAAACATACACTGGACAAAAGATAGTCTTCAACAAATGGTGCTGGGAAATTGGCTACCTAAATGCGGAAAACTAAAACTACATCTCTATTTCTCTCCCTGTACAGAAATCAACTCCAAATGGATCAAAGATCTTAATATAAGATCTGTAACTTTGAAAGTGCAATAGTAAAAAAAATAGGGAAAACTCTGGAAGACATAAGCATAGGTAACTGTTTTCTGAATAGGACACCACTTGCCCAGAAAACAAGAGCAAGAATTGACAAATGGGATTGCATCAAATTCCAAAGTTTCTGAACACCAAAAGAAACAATTACTAGAATCAAGAGACAACCAACAGAATGGGAGAAAAATCTTTGCCAGCTATAAAACAGATGAAGGATTAATATCCAGAATACACAAAGAGCTCAAATAACTAGACAACAGAAGAACAAATAATCCAATTAATAACTGGGCAAATTAATTGAAGAAACAGTTCACTGAATAAGAAACTCGAGTGGCTAATACATGAAGAAATGTTCAACATCCATAGTCATAAAGGAAATGCAAATCAAATCTACACAAGATTCCATCTCATCCCAGTCAGATTGGCAATCATCAAGAAAACAAACAACAACAAATGCTGGTGAAGATGTGGGGGGAAAAGTAATCTTCATATACTCTTGGCAGGAAGGTAAATTGGTGCAACCACTATGAAAATCAGTATGAAGATTACTCATAAAACTAAAAATAGACCTACCTATGATCATGCCATGCCACTCTTGGACATATATCTGAAGGAGGGTAAATTAATATAAAAGAGAGAGATCTACATATCATGTTTATTGAAGCTCTGTTCACAATGGCTAAACTGTGGAATCTGCCTATGTGACCAACAACTGATAAATGGATAAAGAAAATATGGAATATTGCTCACCTGTAAAAAAAATGAAATTATTTGCAGGAATAGATAAAACTTGAGATCACCATGTTGAATAAGATAAGAAGAGGTCAAAAAGCAAAATATCACATGTTCTCAGTCATTTGTGGAACCTAGACTTAAAATGATGATAATGATGGACCATGAATGTGAAATGAGGACAGGAGAATCAACGAACGGGGAGGAAGAAGGAAAGGATATTGAGAAGGAAGAGGATCAAAATATGCTACATGTATATAATTGAAGACAGCATAATGAAACCCACAAAAGCTGTAAAAAAAAAAAAAAAGGTGGGAGAAAGAGGAAAAGCAAGTATAATGGAGGGAATGAACTTGTTCAACTTACACTGTACATATATATGGAATTATCACAATGAAACACCCCTTGCATTATTAACGTATACTAATTCAAAACATAATAAAACTATTTAAAAATTAAACAAAAGCTAACATTTACTGAGAATTCACTGAGCAGAAGCATCACCACCACCCTCATTGATCCTGGGGGTAGGGGAGTACACACAGGAGGTCTATACATTCTCACATATCTTTTCAAGCACCTGGAATAGAATACAGGTTTGGGGATAGCCATCAAAGCAGAGGTGGATCTTAAAAGGTCTCAAACCCCAGTATCTTGCAAAGCCTCCAAACCTAAGTGTGGCAAGTTGGGGAAGGAGTTATCTCACTCATGTGCAAGCTGGGTAGGGTGTGCAGATCTATGAATAATAGGATGCATTTAGGGAAATTTTCTTTTCCATTAATTGGAATTCAGACTATATTATTTCTAAGAACTAACATTTGAGTTGTGGGCATCTTATCCAGTAATTGCCTATACCGGTCAATCTTGAAGGCAAACTTAAGAAAGTGAAAACCTTTTAGTTAGACTGCAGGTGCTCTAAAACTTGAGCCATGTCTCCAGCTGTTTTTGCTCTGGTTATTTTGGAGATAGGGTCTCACTTTTTGCCCATGTCAGCTTAGATCAAGATTCTCCTATTTTACGCTTCCTGCCATAGCTGGGATGTTAGGCTAGATGTTGGGTATCATCCTGCCCCACTTTTCTGGTACCACACCCCACTTTTTCTGTGACAGGGGGTCCTGTGAACTTTTTTCTTGCTCCAGGTGGTCTGGACTCCAGATCCTCCCAATCTCAGCCTTCCACGTAGCTTAGGATGACAGCCACATGCCACTGTCCCCAGCTATTGGTTGAGGTAGGGGCTTGCTAACATTTTGCCTGGGCTGGCCTTGAACCATGATCTTCTGGACAGGGTCTCATTATGTAGCTCAAACTGGTCTCAAATTCTCCATTCTCCTGCCTCAGCCACCTGAGTGCTGGGATTAAAGAATATACTACCACACCTGGCTCTTGGTTAGTTGTTTTTGGTGACATGATATAATTCCATGGGAGACCCCCAGAAGTACTAATCTTAGCACTGTAATTTACCATTTATGAGATATTCTGCTGGAAGTGATATATTGTAGGGGCTGCCCGCTATAGAAAGGGATTTCTCCAAAACATAGGAGTAAGGATTTGTCTATGCAGGTTCGACGGGAAGCACTGTCTTAGAGCAGTGAGAACTAAGGAAATGGTATAGTAAGAGTAGCTGGAGTTAAGGGGGGGAAGGGTGTCAACTAGGGACACTTCTACAAATTTGACGTTTTTATGCCTTCTTATAAGGGCATGATGGGGATTGTATGTGAAACTCAGCATTTTTATTCCAGTGCCAGTGATGCCTTTGTGGCTCCCTTTAATCACTACTCTTCAGTAAAGTTTGATATTGGGATTATGAGGGATAACAGTAGATACAGCCTGCTCCACTGACACCATCCTGCAGAGTCTGTGGCAGGAAGATCCTGTCCCAGAGACAGGTAAGAGATCATGATCACTTTCCTAAATAGATGAGATGATATTGATCTTTTAGTGGCAGACAGCTGATATTTGGGTCACTTTAATAACATACTAGGTTTTGGCCCCATTTTACAATGAGAGAATGGAGAAATAGAGGTTAAATAACCTCTATTTAGGGCTCACAGCTACAAAGCTGTCAAGCAGAGATTGCAACCAACATCTGAGATTCTAGAATTTGCTTTTAATGGATGCATGAGAGCTTCTCAATCCAGTGTGCAAAGGCACTTCTGGGAATGGTCACGGATGAACAGAGCTGTTGAGGGTCCTCCTACCCCTGCCACCTCCAGTTGTGGGGAGCCTCTTGCCTTTACCTCAGTATCTGTGAGTATGAACAATGTCTACACATGTCAAATGGACAAGTTGGGAAGTTCTGCAGGGAAGGCTCCTGCCTTCCATTTCTGGAAGCTCTAGGACAAACTGCTCCTGCCCCCACTGTACCCTACCACCATTTCTCACAGCCCAATGTAGATTAATTGATGAGAGTCTTACCATTTCTGTCCCTTGGAGTCTCTGGTCCTAGAAAGTCTTGGCCCTGCAGTTGCCCGGAGCCCACCTCGTCGAAACTCTGCCATTCCTGGTGCATCAGTGTTGAAATTCCCTGACTGAGTTCTTCGGATTCTGCATGGAGAGGAATCCACAGAGACTGTTAGGGTATGAGCTGACAGACTGAAGGCAGTATGCCCCTATTTTGCAGGCAGGGCCATGCAGGCCAGGTTCAGGGGTCTGGGCAACACTGCCTCCTCGTGCCTCCCCTGAGATCAAGGATCATGACCTAGGACAAATTCTCATTCAGACTGGAGACTAAATTCTAAGCCTGTCTCTGGGATTTGGGCCACTTCTCATAGGGGTCAAAGGTTGATGCCTTGGAGGAAGTTCTAGTTTCTGCCTCATTTGGGAAGGAATCAGTAGGTCCAGTAAGTACTCAGCTTTCTCAAAACATAGCCTAATCCCTGAGAAGGAGGAATTCAGTCTCCTAGGTGTCTATCCCAAAGCCTGTGTAGCGTAAGCTGTAGAGAATGTGACCAGGGTATGTGGGATGGATGGATGCCTAGAATAAATGACATGTAATGCAACTGGCTCTATTTAGGGTGCATACCACACTTCTCCCTCTCTTGACCCTGAAAAACAATGCAAATTCTTCTCTCTGAATATGACCACCCTATTTTTATAGCTTTTTACCCAGGGTTTACATAGCCTCTTTGCCTGGTCAATATGAAAATTAATTCTAAGCATATGATTATGATCATCACCACAAACTTACTTTCCCCAGAATTTCTTGATGCCTTTGGGACTCCGTTTACCATCTGATGTCAGGGGAGACTGGGGACTCGACTCAGCACCAGATGAAGTGGGAGAAAGGTCACTGCCCATGGCGGCATCTTCCCAACCACTTTCTGTGTCTCCTAAAGTGGAAAGGATGAAATAACATGTAAATGAGTAAGGAGTGTGATCTTTGGAATGCTGGTCCTTAAACTTGGTCCATTGTTCCAGGGGAAGATTCTGAGCTCTCCACCAAGATTTTAGGGGCCAATGGGAGATCAAGTATACGCCAGGCTTTCACAGTAAGGAATTAGTGAGCTCCATGTTTCAAATCTGGGTGAACTAATGTCTTCAAATTCTAAGGAATTGGGGTCTAGGCACTTGTGGATTATTCCAACAAGGAGCTTGTTTCTTTTCTCAGAGGGAGATGGAAGAATGCAGGCAGGATGGGGGAACACAGCTGAGAGTTTGGGAGGGAAAAGTTTAGGGTCAAAACCAGCACACAAAGGCATCATCACTCTCCACCTCACCTGGAATGAGTACAGTACCTAATACGGGGGCACTGACACTCCGGCCGCGATCTCCAGCCAACCAAGAAGCAGAGAAGCCACATGAAGAAACAAGAGAGGCCAAAGTCCAGCCCAAGAGTTATAGGGAAGCAAAGAAATAAACAAAAGAATGTCATCAAGCAAGAGAGATAAACTTAAACAGAAAGAAAAATAATCCCATGAAGAGGATGGGGTAAGTCATGACCAACCTTGGCCCTCAGCATTAGTACATTAAGAGAAGGCCTTACATGAGGAGCCAAATGCTCCTGGTGCCACTTCCTGGTAGCTGAGGTATCCACAGGCAGGGAGAAGGAGGGACAGCATCAGGGGCTGAACACACCAGGTCACACATAGTTCTTGCACAGGTGCCAGGGTTCAGTTAGACTGGAATAATCTGAAGCTACTGTGCATCCAGCCTGAGTGTCACTGGACACACAAGCTTCTGTTCCCCAGGGAAAAACTAGCCTTCATAAGCCAACACATGGGGTAGCTCAGAAAATTGCTAGACAGAGGAGCAAATAGTAGGGAGAACTTTGGTAGGACAAGAACATTCCCTCCTGGGCCCCATTAAATCTGCTGCTGCTGTTGGAGAAAGATGGCCTGCTTTGGATGAAAATTAGCAAAGACCTCATAGTTTCAGGTCCTAATTTCCAAAAGGATATCTGTGAACTAACTAATCCTTGTCCCCTAGGCACTGACACTATTTAGCTAAGGAGGTGATCTCACTTGGTAGACCACATACTATCACTCTTCTGCTAAATAGGGAGGCTGCAGAGAAGGCAGAAACAGGAAAGAGAAGACCAGGATGACAAAAGAAGGAAAGTGAGGGTCAGGAAGGGTGGAAGGGGGTGTCTAAGAGGGAGGCAAAAGTGGAATGCTGGGAAGGACAGACAGGCTTCAAGAGAGGAGGAATGGCAGAGGAAGAGAAAATAGGGATGTGTAACTGCAGCTGGAAAGAACAGGATACATACATAGCCTGGTTTTCTGGGACTCTGAAGTGTTTACCATAGGAAATAGCTTTCCCAGACAAGGAGCCTTTCAAAATGGGCCCACTTTGGAGTATAGCTTGCCCTAGCACCCACTATTCTCAGTGTGGGCTGTGATGGTCAGTTAGGGATCTCACACAACGACTGGAAATGCTAAAGGTATTGCTACAGATGCTACCAGCCCTGGGGCTGGACGCTTACTCAGCCTTAGCAAGCTGCTCCCTGTGGAGTCAGGCTGGGTGGCCTTGGGAATAGATTTAGCAGCTTCTCCATTGGGTGTGGCTCCCGAAAGCTTTCCAGGTAATGTAGGATATTTCTGCTCCACCTGGAAATGGCTGTCCTATTGAAAGGAGAGAAGGAGAGATGCTGAATTAACATCAGACTCAAGATTCAAACCCAGTTAGGAATACACTTGAACACACAAAGAGTTCTGTGTTCTACAAGTCATTTTTCATTTAGCCTGACTGAACTCAAAGACCCCTCAAAGATCATTTTACCCAGGTTAGAAAAGGGACCCCAATTCTAAGAAAGGAAGAAACTTGCCCACACAGTGATACAGAGATGGAGTCAAGCCTAATCCATGGTTGACTGCAACTGCTTCTAAGCAGGAAATAGAGACATCTTGCAAATGGGGCCTTTGCCATTTGACCTAGTTGTTCAGAGGTTCAATGATTAACAGACATGAATTACTCTTTGAGTAATATGCTCTCCAAATATACAATTCAGAATTTGAACCTAGTACTTTCATCAATTCTGAAAGAGAGGAGGCTGAGGTCAGTCAAGTCTGGGTTTCCTGTTCTATAGGAAAGACTTGCTTTCCTATAGTCAGTAAAGAGGTGCTTTTGCTACATAGGACAGTCACTCCGACCAGTCCACAGCAGATATCTGCAAGTGCTTGGCCATGTGCACAGATTATATGGATCTTGGCTAAGAGAAGTCTCTGCCACAAGAGGGGGATTATAGTTTAAATTTTAAGCAGAAGAAAAAGTCTGTATTGTGATAATAGTTCTTTTCAAAAACATGTTAGCTAAAGAAAGAAGGTATGCACACATGGGAGAGATGACAACAGGAAATGAGTCAGAGAACTAAAGCCAGGAACACAGAGAGTTCCCTTAGGAATTTAGGATTATCATTTGCTTTGGTATGATGGACCCTATGGCATAGCTTTGGTGCAGTGGGCACCATATATCTGATCCCGGCCATATAAAAAGCCCCAAAAGAAACAAGTTGACAAAAAGAGAAAGGATATCTTATATGTGGCAAAGAAGCCTGTCATGGCCCATAAATCTGCAAATGTGAGAGAGATATGGTTAATGTACTGGGAGAATGAGAATGAGATGAAAGAAAAGAGAAATCGAAGCAATATTACCAGGAGAATCAACCATGGGGTCACTTGATGGGTCCCAAAAGAAGTTACATGGAAGACTAAACCGATTTCAAAACAGGCAAGTCAGAACAACAATGGGAGGCTGCAGTGACTAAGACATCTTTTGAAGTTCATTTAGCTAAAAGTGTCCAATATTTTTGAATTCAGTTTGTTTCTAAACGAATGTTCTAGAAATTGTCTGAAATTCAGCTCATTCATTGAGCATTGAAAAGAATGCCTAATATACAAGATTTGAAAGGAGAGATATGAGGAGAGGAATCTAAATTTTTAAAGAATTCTGAAAGAACTAGTCGGTGAGTAGAAGTAATTAGGTACTTGAGAGGTGATGACCATAACATCTTCAAGCTGGTGACGACCCATGAGGTAGAGGGTGGACGTGAACAGACATGTGTACCAGACCAAGAGGTTCTCAGTGCTAGCTCATGCACCCACTGCTTCATGCTCACCTGAGGCACTTGGAAAAACAACATCAGTTCCCAGCTCCCTCCCCAGCCCTGTGAATCAGCCCCTCTGGAAGCAAATTCACCCAAGGAGTCTGTATTTTTAACAAGCGTCTCAGATTATTTTGATACACAGTCAGACCTGGAAAGGGAGTGTTCAAAAAGTTTAGAGAGCTGCAGGGCATGACTCCAAGTTCCATCTCCCACAGAAAACGCAGGAGAGAGAAAGGCTCTCTATACAGGTTTTTGGTTGTGTCATCACATAAGCTTCCTGAAGACAGGACAGAGACAGCCAGAACAAGGACTCAAGATGTGGTCCACTTGGGGAGCTCCCAGAACTTTTTGTTCAAAGCACCAGGACAGGGAAGCAGGGAGAAGACTTATTCTACAATTCAGAGTGGCCCAAGGACTGACTTATCAATCACAGTATTAACTGCTACAAACATGGACGTGCTCAGAAGTCCCTTATCTGGAAGCAGAGATGTAAATAAGATCTTCCCCTTGCACAGAGTTAGAAGGGGAGAGCTGACCCATTCTATCACCCTGGTTTGAAAATATAAAATTAAACTGTCAGACCGAAGTACATATGCAGTGAGGCCTCATATCGCCTATGAAAGGCAGAGGACAGAAAAGAGTCGTGCACATTACATTCTCCCATGCGGTACTATAAATGGTGGTGGGTGTGACTGAAACCCTGCTAATTATATGAAGCTTCAGTCCATCTTGGTTTCAACATTTAATCATCTTCCATGCCAAGCTCTGTGGCAAAAATCATAGAACTGACTGGAGCTTTTATAACATGACTTGTTCTTTAAAGGGAGACAGAGTGTGTTCCTGTGGTTTTTAACCATGACATAGCAGCAGAAAAAGGATGAGAGCTATTGTACTCTTCTGGGTGCTAAGATCACAGTACTCCCTCCCAAGTGATTAAATCTAGATTGCTTTGTTAAAGATTAGTTTCTCTGAGCCTATGGAGGTGATAACAATAAATCCTATCCTACAGATAACTTGGGGAGAGTACATTATATACATATGAGGCACATTAACATAAAATGGGAGGAGGAAGTTTTACCTTTCTTCTCACCTACCTCTTATGCTTAACATATTTTTAGTTTACAAAAGCTGTAACTTGCTAAACCCCCTCTAGCCAACAGTGCAACAACAGGTAGATGACAGAGACATGAAGTTACTGTACCTTGGGTTCTACCACAGGGGAGATCTGGTTCCCATCCACACACTACAGAGTGATAAAGAATTCAATTATGTGGAGAAAAAGAGACCTGTGTTAGTCAAAAACAACTTAGGACTACCTCCCTGCTTACATCTAAAAGGCTCAGATATAAGCAGTCCATGTGCCCCCCATCTTCTTGTCAGATAATCACCACTGTGTAGAAAACATGGGTCTGTCCAACACCATAAACAAACATCCTAGGCAGCTGCCAGGAATCTGACTATGAGGAACAAGAGGCACATAGCAGAGGGATCAAAGCCAAAGGATGAGCCCACGGTTCCTGCCAACTCCAGCTTTTATACATCTCCATTGTACCACCAGAGGGCTAGCACACTGTTGGAGCCCAGAGGACAGTATGAAGCATGGCTCGCTGGAAGTTTATTCATGACTAAGCTCAAGAGCCTGAGATCTTTTCCTCCAGCATAGGATCCACCCATGGTCCAGGGCTACCCTAAGAATGGAACCACAAAGCTCTTCTCATATCTTTCTAGACTTTAAAAAAATCTGCCTCTCTCATCTAAATTATTCCAGACATTACTACTGGAATCATCTCCTTTACCCACATTACTTCTTCATTGAAAATCTCTCCAGTGATTCCAAGTATCCGAGGGAGGTAGGTTCAATATCCAAGACCTTCTCTGGCTTGATCTGATGCATGGCTATGATCCCATCTACTCCTACTCCCCACCATTTCCCCAAACCTGCTTGTTCCCACTAGACTCAAGCCAGGCTTTTGCCCACCTCAACCTCTCCTCTTATTAACTTCAGCCAGCATTTCCTGGCTTGCTGTACCTCTAGGATACTCTGGGCCACACAAGATTGGTTTTCTTAAATTATTCATGTTATTCTGCCTTCCCTGCAACTGTGTAAGAGCTTCTCCGAGGCAGGGGACAGGACTCACCAGTGTATCCTAAAACTGTGCTAGGCCCAAAGAAGTAAACAGTAATAGGCAGAGGAACTGACCTTATCTACAGATTCACTTCTCAAGTCTTCCAGACTACAGGAGAGTTTCTTTTGAGTTCTGGAAAAACACAAAAGAAAGGAAAGAAAGAAATAGTTACTAGAGAAGGTAGTGGTAGTACTTGGTATTCATGCAAAGGACATTTTAAATGATTAACCAGTAGTCTGTATTGGGTTTAGAGTGAAGCCAAGGAGAAAAATCACCCTCTCATAGTAGCCAAGTCATAGGATGAGACTGGCCCACACAGCCTGGGGAGGCCTGATTACATCACATACATCCCAATGAAAAGTTCCTGACATTGCTCAAAAAGTTAGAATACACTTTTTTTTATTGTTTTATTATTCATATGTGCATACAACGCTTGGGTCATTTCTCCCCCATGCCCCCACCCTGCCCTCTCCCTCTCCCCCCCACCTCCTCAATACCTGGCAGAAACTATTATGCCCTTATCTCTAATTTTGTTGAAGAGAGAGTATAAGCAATAATAGGAAGGTACAAGGGTTTTTGCTAGCTGAGATAAGGATAGCTATACAGGGAGTTGACTCACATTAATTTCCTGTGTGTGGGTGTTACCTTCTAGGTTAATTCTTTTTGATCTAACCTTTTCTCTAGTTCCTGGTCCCCTTCTCCTATTGGCCTCAGTTGCTTTTAAGTTTTAGTTTCTCTGTGTTAAGGGCAACACTTAATGCTGTTGCACTGATAGGAGGTGGCTATCGAGTGTTCATAAGGAAGAGTAGGACCTGCATAGTCAAAGGAGAGGAAAAGCGCTGCTCTGGCTTCTCTGCAATTCAGAAAGAGCAGCTGGCATTGCCTTCAAGTGGAGACAAACATGTCAGTCAGCCATTGCTCCAAAGTATCATCCACTAGGATGCTTCAACTCTCTGCTCTGGCTCTATTTGCCCTGAGCAGTCTGCTCTGAGGAAGAAGAGGCAAGGCCACCAGTGGCCACAGGGGTAATCTTGTGCCAAGTCTCCTTGTCAGTCATATTTCTTAGTTTATAGAAATAAATCAGCATCTATTTATATCTTAGTCTCTTATAAGTCTGGTCAGTGTGAGTGCCCCATTGTCAATTTCCCCCAAGTGAACTCAAACTAAATTTCTTATTTTGCAAAACTTAGGACATGCCAATAACCCTCTGTTATTGGCCATTTTTTCTGTTCTCAGGAAACTGAGCTCTGAGAGCGTAGATTCTGGAACTCTGGAGACACAGCACCATTCCGAGAGGCTTCTGCCATGCTTGTGACTATCTTTCCCAGATGTTGTCACTAAAGAACCTGTTCCTGGTGGTGAAAACTCCACACCTCTCTCACATGAGAATAAAATTGGAAACATGTTCTAAAGAACTCACATAGGGATCTAGATATGGGTTAATTTTAGAGGGAATCAGACAGGTGGCAGCAATGACCCCATAGGCCAGCCTGCTATAAGCAAACTGTCACCAAAGCAATTGGACCAACTTCCCTGTGAGGAGAGATGGCCCTCTTTGAACAGCCTCATGGGCCAAATACAAGATTTGCCTTGAGATTGGTGAAGACATTTCAAGTGGGCTGATATAAATTACAGACACACATCATGGAATACTCTCATCTCCAAAGAGCTGCCAGAGGCTGTGAAAGAGTTGTAGACACCAAGTATCCTCTGAAGCTCCAACCTCTGGCCAGGTCTTTCCTCAATGACTCAGCCCAACATTCTCTGGTAAGGAAAGTCCTCTCTGGTTGGCAATGGCCCTGACAATGGAAGAGTGGTGGTATCCAGAACATGGTGGCTGTGCTTAAAACACATGGCCAGTTATGAGCTACCACAAGAGCCCCCAAGAGGGGCCTAACCCTACAGAGGCTCCAGAGAAATGCTCAATTCTCTTACCTGGTCTCCAGTGATTTCTGTGGCAAAGGAGGTGGCCCCACTGTGGGAGAACTGCACCTTGGAGGCATCTGCATCAAAATCAGAAGAGTGATCATGAGGATAATTACTATTTGGGGACCATCCTTCCCTGTCTTTGGATGACACAATTAGGAGCTACGTTTCTGCCCCTGGGTACAGCCATGGTAAATACATCAATATGGTAACCTTGCTCATTTCAAGATGCCAAGAAGGAAGGCATATCAAACCACTTGGGTCAACTAGACTTTTTCTCCTAAGCTCCATATCTTAAATAAAATTCATGACCTAGAAATAAGAGTCCTGAGATCCTGAGTCCTTGGGCTTTAGCTGCTCCTATCCTGTCTGAGGTTTGCTCTTCAGCTTTTCCTTTTATTCATTGAGTGACTACACACATTTCAAAAAACATTCTTTTTTCTTGGTTTAGATTACCCAGAGTCAAATTCTGCTGCTCTCAATGAGATAACCCTAATGATATAGTCACACAATATCCACCCTATGTTAGATATAGGGAAAGTAAAACTTACACCCAGTGGCAAGGATAAACAAACAATGTAATGCCACCTGTCCTGTGGCACGTATCCCACATAATGTGGGAACAGAAGGGACGAAGGAGCTCCCTCTTGTTGAGGGAATGTTGAGAGGGCTTCAGAGGGGAGAACACCTGAGGTGAACCTTGAGTAGTGAGAATGGGCTCAGTAGGCAGGCAAGAAAGAAAAGAACACCTCAGAGGAGGTACGAATGTGAGATGATGAAAGTGAAAGGAGACAGTTCTATGTCTTCAGTATTGTGCCAACCACAAAGTTTTTCTCTTTTCCTTACAGTCCAGAGTCTTTTTGGTCTAATATAGAAAGAACCCTGGCATTATAGTTGATAAAAGCCTGGGCTCATGGTCAGATAGACCTGGGTTTAACTCCAGGTTTTATCATCTATTTGTAGTGTGACCTACAGCTTATTACTTACCCTCTCTGAAGGGTCATGAAGACTAAAAGAGGTGAGTCATGTACAGTGCTGATCATAGTTACCACGCAGAGGTATTAAATAAGCATTGATGATGGCTATTTTGTACTGTCAGCAATATAGGGTGCTTCTTTTAACTTAATATTGGGGTCACTGGATGATACTTTTGCTCCACCCTTAAATAAAAGAATTGACTTGGACTGCTAAAAGTCTTTTCAGTTTGATCATTCTGGGGTCTCATGAATCTTCTGGACTCTAGACTGATGCCCTTGAGCCCCCAGTCTCTACCTATGCACTTGTCTGCTCTTTTATAGTTGGCTTAAGTTCAGAGAAAAATACAATAGGACCAGATTTTAAAAAACAAGAGAAGGAAAGTCTGTGTGCTGGTTGTGAGGACTATGAAGCAGGAATGTATCACTTCAGAAGTTGCAGGAAGCTCTCTAAATCGGCAAGACCCATTTACTCATTCAACAAATATTTGTTGAATTCTGGTTATCAGGCATTACTGCTGACCCTGGATAAATGGTGGTAGATAAAATAAATACCTTTGTTATACACTTACATTCCAAAGGAAACAAAGTAAACAAGGAACCAGATTAAAAGGAAAATTCCTATCCTTGGAAGTTCCAGTATCTACCATGCCATTCTCAACCAGAATACACGCCTGAGCCTGGGCCCTTGCCCACTTCCACCTTCTCCTCAAAGCTGAGGACCATTCATGCATTTAATTATTCACCAGTTAAAACATATACTGGACTGTTGCCTTACTAGATCTTCCTCCGAGCTAAGGGCAAGCTCTGAGGGCTACTGAAATCCCATGTCATAAGTGGAAGTACAGTACCTCTTGTTTAAATAATTCTTCAGAGTCTTTATTTGCAGTGTTCCATTTTCTGAAACTTCCCTCTAATTCTTCTTCATTGATTGAGAGAGCTGTCTCTGAAGGGCCTGGAAGCATTTATATAGAAGTGATAGATCTCCGGAAACTTATCAAACTAATCATATCACAAAACCCTAACATTGCTTCTCCTTCATTAAGAAAGACTAATAAGGATCACCTGGGCTCAGGAGTTTGTGCCTAATCTGGGCAACACAGTGAAACCCTGTGAAAGAACAGAAAAGAACAATGGTACACACCTGTCATCCTATCTGGGGAGACAGAGGTAGAAGCCAGCCAGGGCAAAAGCACAAGATCTCATCTGAAAAACTAACTAAAAGTAAAAAGGACTGAGGGCATCAGTTAAGTGGTAGAGCACTTGCCAAGCAAGCAGGAGACTCTGAGTTCAATTCCCAGAACTAAGGGCCTGAAGCCATTTATTATAGAAGTGATAGATCTCCGGAAAACTTATCAAACTAATCATATCACAAAACCCTAACCATTGCTTCTCCTTCATTAAGAAAGGACTTAATAAGATCACCTGGGCTCAGGAGTTTGTGCCTAATCTGGGGCAAACACAGTAAACCCTGGAAAGAACAGAAAAGAACAATGGTACACACCTGTCATCCTATCTGGGGAGACAGAGGTAGAAGCCAGCCAGGGCAAAAGCACAAGATCTCATCTGAAAAACTAACTAAAAGTAAAAAGGACTGAGGGCATCAGTTAAGTGGTAGAGCACTTGCCAAGCAAGCAGGAGACTCTGAGTTCAATTCCCAGAACTAACACCAAAAAAAAAAAGAAAGAGAAAAACTAAGAAATGAGAAGATTCTTTAGGGTATCCAAGTAAGGGCTGTCAAGGGTGATTTCAAGGTCAAAGTTCACTCTGGAATAGGGGCAAAGCATCGTTTGTCTCCAATCTTCTTTTTTATTGCCACAGGCAATCAGGCCATGAGAGTGAGACTTGGCCTAAGATCTCAAAGGATTGGCAAAAAGAGGGTTGCAACATTTGTGTGGGGGTCTGCAGATGCCCTGGGCAGTGACCAGTCATCCACAATCCAGTAGAGACTTGGCTCCTTCCCAAGAACAGGCAAGCTCAGCCAGAATCAAAGCTTCCTGCACACTCTTCAAAATAGCCATTTCTCATGAGTCAGCTGCCTCTGCAGAGCCTGGGTCTATGGCAGGAGTGATGAGGCAGGCAGTTTGGCATACACACCATAAGAACATGAATGCTACCTTTAAGAGGTGGACAACTTCTGATACCTGGTGAGGGCATTAATTGATCCCTGATCCAGGTTTGACTCCACACTGTCTCTAAGGCTATCTGGAGAAGATGCACAGGAGACCCCTCCAATGGTGGACCCAAGGGCTAAAATTGTAGGCTTTATGTATTTGGTGATCTAGACAGTCCCTAGAAATTCTTAGCTGACTACCATTTGATAACATTTCTGGAAATCATCAGCTGCCAGTTTTCTACCACACAGGACAGTCTAAATTGCTCAGTTTTCCAGTAGATCTTCTCCAAATGGAGATAAAGAATTGCTCCTAGATTTAATACAGATGAAGTATCTTTCAGGGGAAATGGTAGGCTCACCCTTGTTCCTATCTTGAGCTGTCATCGCAATCTCCTTCACTCTTCGGTATTGGTTCAGCAGCCCCATAAGCTCCTCTATCCGACGGTCCTGCCACAGAGCAAGGGCCAATTTAGATTACCACCATCCCTGGGACCCAGTCAATTCGGGGCCCATCTTGTATTCTGGGCACACTGTGAAGAAATCCTGTTTGGAACCTCTGAAGTACCTGACAGGAAAAGACAATCCAGGTCTGTTCTATAGAGCTGGGTCTCAGTGGTCTGCCTCACAGGAAGCTGCACACACTCATGACTCTACCTGAAGGTTGTGAGCCAACAGGTGCTGACATACCCTACAAGGGGCTTAAACATCTGCAGAAACATAAAACTCACTGCCCTCATTCTTCTGAAGTAGCCACCTATGAACGATGCCTCTTATTCTAGTGTTACTCTCTGGAGTTACACACACACACACACAAAGGACTAAAAAAAAAAGCTGTCATATTTATCCTAATATCCTCACCTGTTCCTTGGGACTCTGAGATACATTATACAACAGAGGAAATTCCCAAGTGGGAGCAGATCTTTCAAGGGAAGGGTATAGGAACTTGGCAGGCCACAAAAATCCTGGAGCTAGACTTTCTTGGGTGTGAACCCTGGCTGTGCTATTCACTTGTTATGCCCTATACAAAATTATTTCAATATTTTGAGTCTGTTCTCTTCACCTGGAAAAAGCAGTGCTGAGATTCTCAGAGATGATCTTTCTACTGGCTAGTGCATTTTATTTGTAGACATAGCTATTTTATGATTATGCAGGAATTAGACTGAAGAATATAAGGCAGTAGGGTAAAATGAGGCATTATATACAGCTAACGGTATCCATGATACTTCTGTCATAGAGATAGATAGTGCACATGGGAGATTGGTGGGCTGTTTCTGAGCTTTGAGAGTAATCTATGCAGGAGCGTGAGTATTGGCATTAAGCACAGTTATACTGGCAGTAAGTATAGTGATATTTTTCCTCACACCTGCATGAGCAGGCAGGACTCTCATCTGCCTTTGGGAAATTTCATTTAGGCAAAGTTGTAGGCATCAAAGTAAAAAACAGGTGCTGTTGCTGAGTCTTTAGGGGGGCAGAAGCTGTTCTCCTGACCAATCTCTGTTTCAGTGGCCTAATGACATGGTTCTGTTCAAAGTAGCAGAGACCAGCAAGGAAACGACAGGGTTAATCAATGGCCAGTCACCTTACCTTATCTTCATTGGCAACAAGTAGACTTTCCATCCCCATTTTCAAACGTTGAATTTCTTGGTCTAAAATAATTGAGGTATAGAATTACTTATATAAATGCAAACAGCTATTCATATGTGCTAAGATGCCCCTTAAGTTCAAATGTGATGACTTTCCATGTGAACATGGCTCGTTTATTTCTTTAAAGAGCTCAGGATGGTGTCTGGCACAGAGTCAGTCTCATTAAATATTTGTTGGACTACTAAATGAATGAGCTCAGTATTCTATCTTCTCTTTATAGACATTTACAGGCAAAGTAAAAGTGCCATTTATTCAAAGGTAGTACAGAGGAACTAAAAATCTTTCACAATCAATTAATATTTTCTAAGAATATAGACATTCTTACTCTATATAGGCATGTAGCTAGGCTTCTGACTGGCTGTAGAAAAAAACTCATACAGTCTGACAGATTACGAGCACAAGAAAATTAAAAAGGAAAAGGAAAAAAAGAACCTACACTCAAATGGAGACTGGACAAAATAATTATGTAATTTTGGTAGTTGGCTTAATTTAAAGTGGTATAGTCATGCTTAGGAAATGTTTGGATGGACTAATAAACATATTAAAACAAACTCTATGGTAAAGGGGAAAGTAAGATTAATTTTATTTCAACATATATCTATAGACTTTTCCTATGGGCTGAGGGTTTTGTGTTGGTCTATGGTAGAAAACTCACGTTTGTTTGTTTGTTTTTTCACTTTAGACCCAAAAGGGACTCACTTGACTTCTTTCCAAATTGGCATGAAGATCTAAGTCAAAGCTCAAAACCTGAATCTGCTAATGGTCATTTGCCAGATACTTCAAGGTTTAGGAATCTGCACATGTATGGATTTTCCAAAGATGGGCTTATCCCTGTTCCTAAATTGGGATAGGCAAAGGGTTCTCTGTATAAGAAGAGTACAAGAGACAAGAGAACAAAAGTATAGACATCCTATTTCCTTTGAGATGCCTGTTAAATTCAATAAGAATAGCAACCAGAGGCCAGGCTTGATGGTGCATGTCTGTAATCCAGCTACTTGGGTGGCACAGGCAGGAGGATTATGATTTTGAGGTCAGCCTGGCAAAGTTAGTGAAATCCTATCTCAAAACAACAAAATAAAAACAAAAGGACTGGGGGTACAGTTCAAGTGGTACAGCACTTGTCATATTTGTATGTATGATGCCCTGGGGTTAATCCCCAGTACAGAAAAAAAAAAAAAGACTAGCAATAGGAAATATATGGACTCTATGTGAATAGTTGTGGAGATCTATTGTCAGAGTAAAGTGGACAGTCTTAGACTCCTGGAAGCCAACCTCAGCTCTGCTTCTCAGTTTTCTAGGGGTAGGAGGTAAGTTTCAGATAAAGATTGGCAAACCTGGATTCATGGTCAGAATCCAACCTCAGCAGTGAATGACCAAAGGATCAGCTCCAGAAGGTAACTGATAATGGATTAGCACAGGATCTAGAAGGCCTGGACTGTGAGAAAGCATATGGTACAGAGAAAACTGCCTGATCTAGAAGTCATGGCACTGGGAGCTCTATGTCCCAGATTGTTCAGAATATCGTAGCCTCCACAGGTAGGTCTTGGCAGGTAGGTGACATACCCAATAGTTTGGAAAGACACCAGAGAAAGGAAATGAGCATGCTGTTCACTACTTTCTTTTCTAATCCTAAGTCACTGTTGTACAGCTGCATGACTTCCCTACCCCATCTGCAGATCCAAGCTAAGAAGGGTTGAGGTTGAGACAATACTAAACAGTGGCACCAACTCATAGAACTATATATATGATCTCTTCTAGCATTGCTCTGCAGCCAGTGACAAGTAGAGAAGTTGAAAGGTGTGTCATCATTCTGTATATGTTGCAAATAATCATAAACATATGTTAATAAGACTTTTTGACAATTTATTCTTGATTTTTAATCAGTAAAAGTTGAACTCCTCAGGGACCATTCACCATCCTTTTACTTACCCCAAAACTACTTTTTAGGAGGTTAACATGAGCTGAATATTGTGCTGGGCTCTGTGGATATGTTTTTAAACAAGAAAAACATAGTCCTTTCCTCAGAGTGAAGATGACCACAAGACCTCCCAAAATATAACACTGATAAGTTATAATAAGTGCTATGAAGGAAATAAGAAGTTACAAGATTTAGAGACAAGCAGGATTAGGGCATCTACTTGAGTTAGGACAGCCAAGAAAGGTCTTTCTGAGGAATGACATTTAAGTGAATATCTAAAGGATGAGAAAGAATTGAATGGCTTTTGTAACCTAAAGCCTTTGTACAAGGGTCAAGTAGGACAAAGTGCTAAGCTTCCTCTCTGGTGATAACAATGAAATAAAGAGTCAGGTAAAAGCTGCATTCTTGGTAAAAAAAATCTCCAGAGGGGGTTGCACAGGGCTTTAGTCTGTAACATGCAACTGAGAAAAGCCTTCAGAGCCAAGTGTTCTGGATAAGGGAGGGGGTACATGGCAACAATTCCACAACAGATCTGTGCTTCTTAGATACACACACACAAATAAACACACATTCATATACTTGGACATGCTGACACACATAGTTGCATGTATGTGCATATTAGCATGCCTACATACACAAACACACACACTCATTCATACATATACATGAACACTTGTAAGAGTGGGCCCAGGGTCCAAGACAATGACATTCTATCACAATCAGTCCAATTACCTCTTTCTATGTGGTCACTGTGAAGAGCTGTAGTACGGGAGAGCTGGCTGTGCAGACGCTCAATTTCTGCATCTTTCAGGGCCACCTGCTCTTGCAGCTGGGCTACCTCAGCCTGGAAGAGCAACAAAGAATCTCTGCTAGGTCAGAGGGACTGTCAAACCATGATGAGGTACCTCATGCCAAAGCCCAGAGTCCTGATGGACCCTAGGAGACATGAGGCATTAGGAACGGAATGGGGAGAAATTAGAGGGGCTCATGGCTCTCCCTACAGGGCAGAATTCTGCTGAATGAACTCACTCTTTCTGGCCACCACCTTTCTCCTTCCCTTGCATCCTCCTACCTGACCAGAGTAATTCTCTCCCTGAACTCCCAGAAACCACTGAGGCAGGAGGAACAGGGATTGTATACAATGGGTGGGCTCTGTCCTTGGTACAGAAGTGGATATTCTCATTTTGGATGTGTTCTTCCAAAGTTACTCATGTCACAGCACTTTAGGCTTTTGTAAAAAGTACTTGCATCTTCATCTTTTTACCCCATACAGGAAATACAATAGAAATCAAATCACTGCTGGCTAACAAAGCTTGAGCCAAGGACTCCCTCCCTTGACAGTTTCTCATCACCCCTTCTTCGCAGTCAATGCTTCTGCCCAGCCACTAGGCACAGGCACACACTTACCCACATGTACACAGACAAGCATTTGGGTGTGCTTTATGTAAACCATGTAAACACAGCATACAGTGTATACATATTCATACATTACACACATAGGCAGTGGCATTGGATGGTTCTTGTGTCTCTGCCAAGCATAGCAGGTTAAATTGCACACATTAGGTATGGTTGTCTAGGCTTTCGAGATTCATTAAAGATCATAACTATGTCTTTCCCATCCCAACCTTGATTTTGAAGTCAAACAAATCTGGATTCTCTCATTCCCTAGTGTTGGATGAGTAAGTTATCCTTTCTATGTCTGTGCTCATATATAAAATGGGAAAATGGCAACTACTTCATAGACTAAGGTGAAGAATAGGTACTATAACAGTTGTGAACACTTAAGTCCAATACTTAGCTAATGTTAAGTGCTCAATAAATGCTGCTACGATTGCTCCTCTTATCCTATGCTCATGTAAAGGAAAGAGAAGTGGTGAAGGCTCAGATCTCCTTACAGATAAGTTCACTATGGAGGATGATCTCTCTACTCTGGGCTTCACCCACAGAACAGAGAGCTCAGTCTGCTTATACCAAACATCTTGCCAAGACATGCAGCCATGGAGTAGTTTTTCATAGCTCACTTGGAGCCTAGGTGCCCATGGGTTTATGGATAATGGTGACAGTGGCTTCTAAAAACCTTAGCCTTGGCATTCTCAACCCAAATACCTCCCATTTCTACAAGGACCAAAACATTCTTGGAAGATTGTCTCTCAACCTTTCTTGAACATCTCCTTGCCCATTATCTCCCTCTGTTAGGATCTGGATGTCTGATGCTTACTTATCTGTTGGTTCCACAGTTGGACTTCAGTGATATGGGCCTATGGAGACAAAGCCCAGCACCTGGCACGCTGAGGTCCCTTCTCTCTAAGGTCTGTGTCTATGTGAGGTCATTTATATATGTAGTATGGAGCCCCTACATGCCAAGTGACTTGGTCCAATCTCCTTTCCACTAATGTCCACAGAACAAGCTAGAAACTACAGGTACTCTAGCATCCTTAGAGTGTCACCTGTCCTTATAGGTGGGAAGCCCTCTCCCTGACTGCTACTGCTGCTTCAGCCAGCTCTTGACAGCACAAAGACCAAGACAGTTAGGCAGACTGGCACACAGGCAGGCAGGCATGGGGGCTTCAGGCCCCTGCAAGTGCTGTCCCTCATTAAACTCAGCAACAAGACTCTACTGCTGAAAGACTGTCTGTGGACTCTACTACTACTTGAACTGAAAGATGAACCACCTTCAGGGACTGACAGAAGGCTTAAGCAGAAAACTTAGGAACTTCCAAAAGCAGTGTAAGGATCTCACTGTGATAAATCAGGCTCGTGCAGGAAAAAGAACATGATAGCATGGGAAGGTCAGATCCAGGTCTGCACCGCATCTTGGCCACTTAGAGCCTCTTTATCCTTATCAGTGAAATCAGAATACTAAAATATAACCCACTGTGTTATTCCATGAATTAAATGAGAAAAAGTGTGCAAAGGGTTTGGTAATTCTGGAACACAGGAGGTACTCCACACTGGTAGTTACTAAAGAACCCTTAGCACCTAACAGGTCTACATGCCAAGGCAAAGAGCTTGAGTAATTTAAAAAGGAAAGAGTAACTTGGTTTTATAACAAAGGGTGGTGTGCACAACTTCAAAGGTTTCATCAGAGCAGGACTCGCTTGAGTGCAGCACCGTGGTGGACTGTTCTGAGCTACTGGACAAAAACAATGCTCCCAGAATCAGCGACAGTGAAGCATATAGCACATACATGGCTATCTATGCTCAGATAACAGTGGGCCAGTGAACAGATGGATCCAATTGACCAGGCTAGTCCTAACAGCTGTAAGATCTTGAGAGAGTCAGTTAATCTTTCTGTGCCTCATTTTTATCATGGTTAAGCAAATGAGTTTATATTTAGACATTAGGATAATATTAAAAAGATATTATCACCATGTTCAGCATTTTCTTTTAATAGCACAGGAAACCACAAAATTTTTAATGAAAAAAGCACAATATAAAAATTATATATAAATTGTCAACATCAGAAATAGAGAGAGAGAGAGAGAGAGAGAGAGAGAGAGAGAGAGAGAGAGAGAGAAGATAGAAAGAGAGAGAAAAGGGGGTGAGGGAGACAAAGCAAGAAAGCCAAAATGAAAGAGAAAAATACCTGGAAGAAAATATTAAAAATGATAGTAGCTCCTTGGTAGTCAGTGGTTCTTATTCCTTTAATTTTTTATGGTCTGGAAACCCTCTAATAACTAATTTGTAGGAAAAATAAAAATATAAACTAGAATTTAAGAAAATTCTATTAGGTGTGTTTAAAACTCTAATAAAAAGTAAAAATTGGAGCTAGGTATGATGGCTTACACCTGCAATCCTAGCTACTTGAGGTTTGAGGCCAACTTAGGCAAACAGTTGGCAAGACCACATCTCAATCAATAAAAAGGTGGGTGTGGTAGTGCGCTCCTATCATCTCAGCTTCAGAAATAGGATCGTGGCCCAGGCTGGCCATGATCTTTGAATAATGATGGAAGACAAAAGAGCTGAGGGCATGGCTCAAGCAATAAAGTGCCTGCCTACAGAGCTGAAGGCCCTGTTTTCCAACCCCTGCACTGCCAAAATGAATTAAAAACTGAAATGCCTGCAGAGACCATCTGTTATCAACTGTGAATGGCACTGCAGGGGTATGTCCTTCCATAGGGACAGCTGACCCAGGCACCCTCCAGCAGGCATGTGCCCAGGGTTAAGAGCTTCCTTCCTCCCTTGAACCCCCTTCACCAAAGGAAGCCTAACTATATTTTTTGTTATTGAGAGATAATATTTGTACATCTTTCTCACTCACTCACCGTCCCTTCTTCGCTAATGTCAACTAAACACTAATGGCAACCAGAGGAAGGAGGCTCGGCTGCTGCACTTCAGCAGCTCATTGTTTCCCAGGCTTCATGTGAGGTACACAATCTTGGCACAGCTGTACATCCCCACAAGGGCTGATGTGCATTTTTGAACAGGATGCTGGGAACCCATACCCTCCCCAAAGAATGTTGGTACCCTCCCCAGGAGCATCACATTGGCCTCTTACCTTCGTGGCCTTCAGCTTCCACTCATACTGACTACGTTCATTTTCTAACTCTTCCACTTTGATTTTGAGGTGCTTGAGTTCTTGCATTAACTCCTGGAGGGGAGAGGGAGAAAGACAATGTTGTGGTGGGCAAAAGGTGCTGGGTCTCCAAACCTGGTTAAGCTCATGCAGAAAGGATGCCAGGGCAGCAGCAACCACAGCAAACTCCACACTTCAGCTTTAATTAATCCTCAAACATGGTTGTGTTTCTAGGGAAAACCATGGGGCCATTTAAAAACAAAGGGTAGTGAGTTCCACTTGTTGCTTTTAGATCCTGTTCCGTCTGCCCCTTTCTCTGACATATGTGTCCTCTGTGGGGTATGTCCATATCATGCACAGGTATGTAGGAATCAGACAGGTGAGGCTTGTGTGAAAGACACAGAGATATTGAAAGGAGGCAGCTTCTTCCCTGTGATACTAAGTAGTAGGAAATAAACTAACTTGGAGCATCTCTATGTGCTGAAGGTGGATGAACCCAAAGAAGGGGTGTGTGGTGATCCTTGGAGGCTTCACAGAAGAAGTGACAGCCAGGATAGAAATGAAACACTCAGATAACAGATACTAAGCGCTAAATGTAGATGTCAGTAATGCATGTTCCAGTGTAAAGATGGAAGTTGAAAAAAGAAAGGTGAGAGAAGACATGCAGGAAGGACTAAAGATAGTAGGCAAAAGGGGAAATAATTTGTTGGGCTGGAGCAGAAGATGATGTTGGCACATAGTAGGAGATAAGGCTGGGAAGTTAAGACGTAAAAACTGTAAAGGCTTTTGAATGAAAATACAAGGAGCTCTTATGCCACTGTTTCACAGTCAGGACCTAGTGAAGGTTACTGAATGGGGAAGGAATGTTTAAATCACTTGCCCATGTTCTTACAACTTATAAGCGGTAAAATGGAACTCAAGTTCCTACCTTCTGACTCTAGGCCATGCTTTAAAACCAGTCCAGAAAAGAAGGCACCATGACACTGTCATTTTAAACCAATATTCCTTTAATGGGCAATTGGTCCTGCTGATTAGTTCCTATCAGAAGTAGTACCATAAAAGTCATTATGACACTACACTCAAACATAAAACTTCCTACTTAACATCTCCACGTGGATATAGACTGTCAAGTCACAAGGGAACTCAATCTCCCCACCCCAGTCATTCCTGTCACAGTAAATAGCACATCTAACCATCTAAACTGCCTGTGCCAGAAAGCCATGCTTGGTACCTCTTTCTCTCCCTTCCCCTACGTATACAATTCATTTCTACCTCCAGGAAAATTATTGGAATGTCTCATTTTTCTCCCACTCTACCACTATAACTCAGGTCTAACAAAAAGTGTCGTAGCCTGACAGTCTCTTCATTGGTTGCTTCCCTGTTGTATTGCCCCTCTTGAATACACTGACCCCCAGAGCCTCTAGAGGAATGATGGAATTAAAACACATATCTAATCATTGCACTCTCCTGCTTCTCAAATCTCATTAAATTTACCCATGACCAGATAAGCCTAGCCTGTCCCAGCTCCCTGCCTGCCTTTTTCCCCAGTTAGGCTCTAGCCATACTGGAGAATTTTCAGTTCCTCTTTCCAATTTAGGCCTTCACACATGCCATTCCCTCTGACTGTAACTATCCACCAGGTTAACTCTTGCCTATCCTTTAGGCCACCATAAGCAAAGCTCCCTCAACATCCACACTATATCAGGTCCCTCTGCCAGATACCCGGTGTACCTCCTACATAGTTTACAACCAAATATTTATTGGTACAATTGCTAATGGCTAGTTCTCTACCTATTCTGCAAACTTCGTGAGGTGTTTGCAAACCTCTGATTATCCATCAGGTCCTGGCACACCGCAGGTCTGCATTGTTTACTGATGAATGAATACATGAAACCCAAGTCATTGTTTAACTGGCCTAGAGTTTTTTGCATTTGGAGACAATCTGCCATGAATTCAAATCCACTTGAATTTTGTAGGGTAATTTATTAAAAGTACCTTATAGTTGAGGTGAGCATTTGTTGATACCTATTTAACAAAAAGCAAGGTCTTCCAAGCTAAGGTTCTTGTGTCTATGATCTGCATCATTGGACATTAAGACCTAGGTCACCTGTTTGAACTTGCAGCAGATTCAGAATCATATTCTTGGAACACTGTTGGCCCTGCATGAGGGTCTCCAATACCCAGTATTTAGGGGTTCTTCTGTTTTGCTTGTATCATAGCCGGGCTACTCAGTTTGTCCTGAGAGGGCAGCATGACTGCTGAGGGCAGAATCAGAAAAGCATAGGTTACTGTAACCTAAGGTGCTGTCACTGTGGAGACACAGAGGCTGTGCACACCAGGCTCTTGTGACTTCTTTGGCACATGGCCCAACGGTCATGATGAAATCATCATAATGTGACTATGTTGGGGATTTCTTCCTGGAAATTCAAATTATGACTTAATTGTTCACAACAAACGGAAACCTGTGCTTTATTTTCTCACTGGGGGTAAACCTCAAATATAAACTTGAAAGGATTCTTTTTCATGATGCTATTTTTTTCCTAAAAAAAAAAATCATGTCAAATGAAGCTTCATTTAATGTCCCATTCTGTACACTTAGGGAGGAGAATCCTGTGACTTCATTTGGCACAAATGTCTGAGAGCTGGTCTCACCAGCTCAGACCTTCCTCAGTAGGGGTCTCAGAGTTCACCTCACATCCCCAAGAAGCTGCTTGAGTCCATGGTCTGCTCTGAGGTAACACCAGATCATGCTAAGCCACACCATTCTGTTCCAGTTAGGAGAAACCCCAGCCTTCCACCAGTGAAATGCCCCACACACATGCATGCTCTGATATACTTAAGTATGGTTCCTACAGGTGACCCCTCCCCAGGGGCACAGTCCTGGCTGCAAGGCTGGGGCTCAGCCACCACCTCCTCGGGGTGGTCCCTACTGAGTAAGAGGCGCTCTTGAATCTGCCTGTGGATGTCCAGCTGCAGCCTACACATCTGCTCCTGCAGCTCACTGATCACATTCAGAACCGACTGTGGGAAGGAAGAGAAAGGAGAGAAAAGCACTGGAGGTCAGTTAGCTCACTGATACACAACTCCTTAGGAAAGCAGCACAGACAAGAGATGGTGTGCAGAGTGGCTGTACATAGCCAGCCCCTCTCTTCACAGGAACCAAAAGATATAACACTCTTCCTGAGGCCTGCCCCATCCTTAGGCTTGCCTTGAAGTTTGGACAAACTCCTGTCAGTTCCTTTGTGCCATACTGGACAGCCATTTTGCATGTCAACATCTGAGGTGCAGAGTCTAGACAATCCCTTCATCCAAGCAGAAGCAACAGCAGAGACAGGTGCATAGCAGAGACATAACACACAGACACATTCCTTCCACTCATGTCCATGTTATACCTTTCAACTCTCCTGTCTACACGCCAAGCATGTCAACACCTATACAAGTAACCCATGTGGCACATACCACACATATATATGACAATGTAACCCAACACTGAACTCATTTAGGTGCCAATATGTCTATTTTAGCATTAATCTTATATTTCTCTATCTTGATAAAAGATTAACATAAACAATGTTTCTGCAATGCCTCACTGAAGTTGGGTTTGCCCATTTCTACTACTATAAAACACATTCCCAGACAAACCAGAGACCTAAGTGTAATGTGACTCACACTTCGTGGACATCAATTCCTCCAATGTCGTCTAGCTTTCTGCAAACCATCAAAGGGTTGACCCTGAACTCAATAAGCCAAGTTTTATAGAATACATTTAACTATTTTTGCCATTTTGAAAATCAAGAAGAGAATGGTTTGTTTCCAGTTTTATAATAACTCTCTTGATTTCCTGATTCCTTAAAATCCACTTACAGCAAGCAGTTTTGGAACTGCCATACTAAGTTCTTTGCACCTGTCAAAAGCACTGGAAGAATCAAATCCATTCTTTCTTTGATTTTCCTACTAAGAACATATTCTTTTTTTTTTTTTAAGGCTTTCTATTGTCCCCAGCATTATCTGTTGTTTGGGGTTTGCCATTTGTGAATCTGGTCATACAGGTGCACTTTTATTTGCTCTTAGTAAGTGTCCTTTCTATCTTTGTACACGGTCCATTGAAACCTAGTTTCTCTCAAGGTGCCTCTAAGCCCTTCCTTTTTTATTGGTTTTATCTGTGAGATGCACAGTTGGAATTCAGCAGTTCAATATTGTTGAATATTCTCTTTTAGAGTTCCCAGTCTTTTTATTTCTAAATGTTCAAAGTACTTATCTGTTTATACCTAGCTTTTCTCTTGCTCAATCTTATGAACTTTCAATATAACAATGACCACATAGTCAGTACATCTACAACTTTACTTCATCAGTCAGTCTTGCTTTGCTTCAAAATTAGAGCTAGTATGACAGTTTTCCCAGGTTTGTTTTCTATCTTCTTGAGTAGACTGTAAGCAAGTAAGAAAAATAAAGAAACTTTCAAATACTTCAGTACTCAGCTGGAGATTTTTAGGAGTTATCCAGATAATACTGCTCCCTTCCTCCATTACTGCCCCTTGTGTGTATCCCTTAGTTTAGGATGGATTATCAGGAATCTATATTTTTCTCCCTCTTCTCAGTGTGACTATGAGGTATACCGCAATACTATTGGGCCACTCTCCCTGACCACATGTTGTTGTTTTTTCATATATGTGTATGTCCTCAGGCTTGGTATTTAAATTTAGCTTTCTAATTTTTTTTTAAATCTCCAGAGCTGACCCATCTCCTCTCTTACTACTTCTTTTTCTCTCCCACAAGGCAGACCTTTTGGTAGCACTATTGTATCCTTAGATCGCACATTATGAAGTCCAGTGACATTTATGAAGTTGTAACTGCTGTTCTATACTGTAATCTCAGCTCCTTCTGTTTGTTAATATTGCTTTGCCAACCACAAAAGTTCTTTTTTTAGGGTTCTAATCTATGTGATACTACTGGGCACTTCCCATAATCATAGTCTTTCTTATCCCTTCTCACCCATTAAACTAATTATTCTTCGTTCTTTCTCTTTCTTCACGTTCAGTTTAATATTGGCTTGGCCCTCTTATACCCTATGCTGCTTGTGGGTATATAACCTCTATACTCTACAGAAGGCAATTTGGAAATATGTCAAAATTTCAAGTGCATGTATCCTTGACTCATAAGTTGCATTTCAAGACTCATATGTGAACAAGATTATTCACTACAGCATTATGTATAATAGCAAAAACTTAGAAACAACTTAAATGTCCATCAGAAAAGAACTGGTTAAATACATTAGGGCACAGTCAGATAGTGGAAAATATGCAGAAATAAATATGAACAAGGAAGTTTTTGTTGTTGTTTCTTACTGTGTTTGATATGAAAAGAACTCTAAGATGACTACATTTAAAAAAGCAAAAGTCTATTAGTCTATTCTGTGCATTTTGTACAAAATAAAGTGGAGTGTGTGTGTGTATGTGTGTGTGTCTTCTCATAAATTTGCTTATCTATGTCTAAGAAAACTCTGGAAGGATACAAAACAAACTAGTAATGTTGGTTGGACTGATGGATGGGGGACAAGTGTAGGAGAACCTTTGTTATATATCCTTTTGCACTCTTTTTCCCCCCCTGCTTTTGCACCTTTGATATTTGAATTGTGGCAGTATATTTCATATTCTAATGAAAAAGTAAATTAATAAAATAAAAAAAGATAATAAAACTCTCTTCAGCAGGCCAGCTCATCTCTCAGCAAATACATTCTTCATAGCCCTAACTCTGTGGTCCAAGTCTATCATTCTGGTTGTTCCAGTTCAGAAATCAGAATCCCTCCCTTCCAAGTTCTTGAACACAGGAAGAGAGAAGTGTGTTATAAGACATTCCATGTTTTGCCCGAAAACCTAAAGATTGTTTCCAATTCTCTCACTGCTCATGTAAACCCCCAACCAATTGAGATGACTCTAGTTCCTAACACATTCTGGAACATGCCCCCCTCTTAAAAGGCCACTCTAGCAGCTATGCTGCAGGACCTCTGCAATCCTTGTACATGAGAAACCAGACTCCCTTCTCCAACATACTTCTGATCGACATGCCTTTAAAATGCCTTTGACCTGGGTGCCATACAGAGGGTTTCTTTTGCCTCTGGGTCTTTCATGTTCCATCATCCTAATTCTGGTATTGACTTCCCATGTCAATTACTCATCTGCAGTCCTGTCTTTTATGAGTAAATCTAATTGATTCAATCTTGGGTATCCTGAAGTGATCCAGAACCATGGCAAAGGCTGATGAGAAAAGATAAAACAATCAAACCCAATGTTCACTCACATCTCGTGTGGACCACTCCCAACCAACTGCTAAGCAAGGCTGGCCATCAGAAAACCTGTACCTTCACTCCTCAGATCTTACCAAATGGCCACCTCTAATCATTTGCATGCCTCACAACAGGCAACAGGACACTGACTTAGGTATGATCAGAACCAAAGCAGGAGGAGCAGTCTACAGTGCTTTCATTAATAGCAGCTTTTTTTTTTCATTGAAACATAAAATAGAATTTGAGGATAAACCCTGAGTTATACTTAGGAAGTCTTACAATTTGATTCTGAAGGCTTGTGTGTTAAAGGCTTGGTTACCAGTTAATGGACTTTTAGGAAGTGATTGGAGCATGAGGACTGACTTCACCAATGGATTAATCCATTGATGGATTTGTGATTTGATGACATTATTGGGAGGTGATATAAACTAGGAGGTGGGGCCTGGTTGAAGGAACTGGGTCACTGTGCTTCGAAGGGTACGTCTTGTCCCCAACTCATTCCTGTCTCTTTCTGCCTCCTGTTTGCCATGAGATTAAGCAACCTTCTCTGCCACACGGTGCCAGCACCATGATACACTGCCTCACCACAGATCCACTGCAATGAAGCCAGCTGACCACGGACTGAAACCTCTGAATCTGTGAGCCAAAATAAATCCTTCTTCCTTTAAGTTGATTTCCTCAGGTATTTTCTCACAGTGACAAAAGATAACTAAAGCAGGAAGTTTATTTCAGATCTGCCTACCTTAAAAAAATGTCCTGCCTTTCCCAAACCACAAGCAATCAGCCCTCAGGCTAAATACGTTCACTGGAAAACAGCAGCAGAATGGGAAGGGAAGCAGGATTCCCTTTATTCAAGCAATTATAACCTCTGGTAACCTGAGCCAGCAAAATGGCTCACTCAAAATAAACATTTTCATCACATGACAACAGTGTGGCTTAAGCAGCACTCATGGTTTTAAGCTCCGGGTGCTCCAGATAGCTACAAACAGAGGCAGAGGTTTGGAGCATAACAGCAAGGAGTATGTTCAATTACAAGAATGAGGAATTTGTTTCAGATCATGTGGCTATTCACTGATTAGCACAGGTTTGAACAGCCTACAAAATTCCTCCACATGGAAACCTAATATTTGTACTAGCAACCAAGAAGGATTGTGATCTGGGAGGATAGCAGTCAGAAAATCAGGGTCTCTGTTACCTCATGCATGAACAACAGTCAGATGGAAAACCACTACCGCTAAATAAATATAAAAACAATCTTTCAGAAAAGGAAGAAAGGAAGGGAGGGAGGGAGGGAGGAAAGAAGGGAAGAAGAGAGGAAGGGAGGAAGAGAGGAAGGGAGGAAGGGAAGGAAGGGAGCTTTGGTAAAATGACAATACCAGGAGAAAATTCAACTGCTTTCCTACAAACATTTAAGAAACAGAGTCCAGTCAATTAATACTTCACAAAGGACATTCAGTCTGTTTGATCTTTGCAGTATGTAAATAATATATCTAAGTATGCATTTCCATTTTTACTGTGCTTAACACCATTAGTAAGTGATTAAAAAAAGCTATTACTATGTGCTCCTCACTAAAGGCTACACATACATAATCTCATTCACTCCTCAGAAAATCAACAACTGAAAGCAAGTGTTAATATCTCCATCTTATAGAAGAAGAAACAGAGATTTAGAAGGTTAAATCACTTGGCCAGGATTAACGCCACTGAGTAGCTGAGTATGTATCAAAGCTGGAGATCTGATTCAACAGCCTGCACTCTTATCCGCTAGAAGTCAATGCTCTTTGCTTACTGGAGATCTCCTCCATTGGCAACTACGGAACATATTTCCTAAAGCAATATAGGGAATATACATTCACACATTAGAAGTGTCCCAATCACCAGCATTTACCCAGCAAAAAGAAATATGGCAGGTGTCTGTGCAAATCATGTTGGCACTTACCAGAACAGAACAATGTACATCTTTTGACTTTTGAGATGCCTAAATGGAGGCACCTTCAAAAAGCCAGATATTATGATAGGTGCTTAACTTTTGTGATTTTATTTGATCTTCAACACATAATTATCCATTTTATAAATAAAGAAATTAGATTCATAGAGGTTAAGTAACTTTTTGAATTTCAAAGTTATTGAACAGTAGATCAGTAAGTAAGCCAAGATTTTTCTAAACATAAAACCTTTCTTCTTTCATATCTTACAATTCTAAGTGTGAATACAAATACATGAAGGTGGTTATCTAAGGTTAAAACAGGCTGCCTTATCTCAAATAAAGCACTGTGACCTTAAAATTCTCTACACACTTATTCATAATATAGTCTGTCATGTTCTACACAATGGTATATGTAGCTTGAAAAAAAACAAAATCAACAAAATATTCCTTTAGAGAGGGTATGTGTTGGGGCACACCTATATGACCCATCAGGAGAAAAACATCTAATCTGAGACTTCCATCTTTGTCAGTGGAATGCATGTCAAAAATATCTCCAGATTCTTTAGTTATTGTAACAGTAGGCTGTTGGAAGGCCTCATCCCAGTACATTGTCATTACCTAGTTCTCACAGAAGACATCTTACATCCCTCCATGTTTGTCTGATCCTTCCCTCACTACTGCTTTCCTTTCCATACTTGTCAGCAGTTTGAGGGAGGACAAACACTTAAAGCCAAAACTGGGTGGTTTGGGCATTTCTGAAATTTGCAGTCACAGCAAAACCTGATAACTTGGTAATAACAGATCATTGTGTCTCTAGTGCATAGAAATTTTTGGCACCTAGTGGCTGCCAGAATTGGGGTTGACCAGATGGACTGGGTTCATATTTGGGTAGCCCCCACACAAAGTTGAGTTTCAGGCAATACAGGTTCTCCTCTGAGAAGCTGGTGTATCACACTCACCTCTGCTTTTCTCTGCTTTTCCTCTTGCTCTCTTTGTTCCTTCTCCATGCCAACCAGCTTGAGCTTCAGCTCAGACACTTCAGACATCAAATCAAGCTTCTGAGTTTCAAGAGATGTGCGACTTAGCAGCTCCTGCAAGAAAAATGAATCCCAAAATCATAAACCACCATGGCAACAAGGACAGCTCTTGCTCCATCCATAGCACATAAATCAATATCTAAGTTGTATATTGCACAACACAGAATGGAGACTGCTGCAGATAAGCCACAGGTCCATTAGGGCTAAGTCTGAGGTTACCCAAGGTCATTAGAAATAGCACAGCCTTGACAGTACCCACTGCGCTTTGAAAAACAAACTACATTTCTCAAAAAACATGTTTCTCCACCAAATAATTATTACTTCCAACCAGACAAAAATGAATGGGTATGCTCAAAGAACCAACTTCCTCTATCTCTACCTATAAGACAGAGAAGCAAGTCTTCTCTACCAGAACACACAGATAAGAACTTATATTAACAATGTATTTTTCAAAATTGAAATTTCTAAATCACATCCTGGGCATAATCTCTGCTCAACCCAGACTTCTACATTTTTCAAAGTTAGACTTCATTACAATGAACCCAGATGGTAGTTAGAACATATAATAATGGATGTTCAATGAGTATTTTTGAATGATTATATAGAAATATTATTATGGGAGATTGATCTTTCCTGAGGTGTACCCATATTACAGCTGGGTTGTAAATAAGAAGGTTGTTCTTTCCTGATTGTGAGGAGAGACCAGAAAGATTATTACCAGTGCTGCTATCTCTAGAACAGTACCTTATTACAAACAGAGACCTCAGAATCTTGACACCAAACCTATCATAAACATATATACTTACTAAAAATATTCAATGAAAAAAAAGAAAGGGTAAAAGCAAAGCACTTGCAGAGGGCTACTAGGTATTATAAAGGACTTCAAAAAACAGAAGCATTTTCTAAAGTGCAAGACAAGATATTTTGCTATTGGCAAATGGCAATGTCCTATGATGACCCAAATCCTGGCACAAGGTAGACCCTCGCTACAAAGGTCCTGGCACCAAACCAGGAGAGCATCAGAAAAAAGAACCAGATGGAAAAAATATCCTGTATTGTTCTGAACATTTTGTATCATCATGGGCAACTGAACCCCAGCACAAGAATGGTGATCCCAACATTCTAATCCACAAGGGCAGCAGGACTACTGTGTCAGAATTATGGACTTCTTGGCCCAAGGAGTCAGACAGATGAATGTGTCCAATGTAACGGAAAATTTGAATTTGTTGAGTGTCTCCTCTGCACCAAGCACTGCTGGGTGTTTTTTATATACACTCTCTTAATAAACCCTCCCAGGGATCTGGCAGTAAATATTAGTATCCCAATTCTACAAATGACAAAACAGGCCCAGAGAGGGTGAGTAAGTCTCTTGGCCAAGGACACATACCAATTATAAGCAGAGTTAGTTTTCAAACCAAGGCCTCTTTGGCTCCAGAACTCATTTCTGTCTAATATATCACATATCATATACTTCCCCAACACAGAAAAACATCAAAGAATTTTAAGGGAAATTAAAAAATACATGCTGAGAAAATAGTCAACAAATATTTTCTGAGCCCAGGAAATGTCCACTCAGATTGGCACGATTTCACTGAGCACAGGCCTAGTAAATACTAGGGTCTGATGCTAAGGCTATGAAGGTTATACATAGAAATAATGAGTTCTCTTAGCTTTGAATATCTAAATTTCTTCAGATGCAATCCTCTCCTCTATATCCCTATATAACTTACTCTCTTCTACTCCTTCTTGCCACTTCATATCTCCCTCTCTTTCTCTACCACCTCATTCTCTGTGTCTCGCCATCTTTTTGTTTACCTGATCATTTCAAAGATGATTTAAGGCAGTTTGCAAAAATAAATGTTTCCAATTAAAAATAAGTCATAAAAATTAAACAGGTAGGCAAGTACAAAGTTCTAAGTTCAAACTCCAGTACAATAAATAAATAAACAAACAAACAAAATTAAAGCAGGTGGGAAAGAAGGTTTAAGCCAGAGTTAGGAGAAAACTCATACCATAAAGTACTGGGAACAGCTAGAGATATATATGTGAGCTTCCTTGCTGCTAGTGCAAAAAGGAAAAGAAATAGGTACACAAACCACAGTCCATAACAATTACTTTGGAATACTAAGATATCAGGAAAAGAGTCCTCTAGAGATTTCATTTGTTTTTAACTACCTATCAGAGGCCAATACCTAGGGATATGACAGTTGAAAAACACAGCCCCTGTTGACTAAGTATCTTAAGATGATATTCATGAAGCTTTGTCTACAGATTAGCATTTGAGATATTGCTTTGGTAGAATTCAAAAAAGCCTCAAAATGCTTCTCTCTTGAAAGTTAATCACCTACTCTACTTTTGCTATTGCCAAAATCCCTCTAGCTGTTTTAACTACCAGGTTGTAATTTGTCATACCAATGTTTCAGTTGATGAGGGTAATATTATAATTGGTTCCAACAGCCGTTCTAATTAGTCATACCAGTGTTTGAATTGGTCACACTAACATTCCAAGTGGACATTCCAGTTGGACAGACTAAAGATTTAACTAGAGACCTGAGGTTACTTAATTCATTATAGTATACTAATAATAAAACTTTTATCCACTATCTTCTAGCTTAATACCTATTAAATGTACTTTTACCTTTCAAAATGATCTCCCTTCTGATCCTTCTTACTACCAATTACTGTTCTAGTCTGCAAATTCAAAATTCACCCTTCAACAAGCTTATCTCAATCTAACTGAACTTCCCCATTTCTAGACCCAACAAGGCCCCTGGACACTATTATGTACTGGAATTACTAAAATTCATGACTTAATAGGAATTAACTACCCCACATCCTCAATTACTCCTTCTACTTCCAACATAAACAGACTCTTTTTTTTTTTTAAACAGTACTAAGGCTTAAACTCAGGGCCTACACCTTAAGCCACTCCACCAGCCCTTTTTTTGTGATAGGCTGGCTTCAAACCGATATCCTCCTAATCTGTGCCTCCTGAGTAGCTACAATTACAGGTGTGAGCCTGGCCTACCTTCTTCGTCTAAGGAAGTGCCATTCAATGTTACCACATTCTCCCCAAGTCTCTAGAACCAATACTGCTTCCCACTTTCCTTGAGGCTTTTGAGCAAAAGCTTTTCTACCTACCCTAGGCACCTTCCATCTTTTCAGTAGCTTCAACATCTTTGTTAATGACTTTTCATTCACTATTCACTCACTGACCTGTTCAGCTTCACACTGACTTCAGCTCCCATAAACTCTGCTTCCACTTCACTTCACTTTCTTAGCAGCATGGCCATATCTTGGTTCTCATCTTTTTCCCAAATGTGTTTGCTCTACTTCTAAAGTCTTCTACTCTGAAATTCTCTCCTCTGATCACTATCTTTTGACCTTTCAACTGTCCCAAGTTGCTCACTCAACCTCTAATTTCTTCTGTGGCCATTAGTTACTTAATAACTCCCTATTTGCCTGGTTTACCAACTTTCTTTAAGCAATATTTGTCTTCCTACCCACTTTATACCTTGAAGTTAGTCATTTCAATTGTATTTAATATCTACACTAAAAAGTCCTTCACCAAACTCACCCTGCCCCTAGACTTGATAGGTGTTTACCATAGCCCACTTCAGCCAAATCTCATAGCTTTTTATGTTTTCACTCCCCATGGCCTGAGAATTGATAAGGAAAGTCACTTAATGATGTCATTTGGTTTCTATACAAATTCACACTAATAACAGCTTATCTTCAATACTGTCTGTGAAACTTATATTCATCTCCAAATAAGGACGGTTCCAAATCTTTTCTATTCTCCTCAAGCCCTAAACCATACAATGTCCCCACAGTCTTCTCCTCGAACCCCTCTTCTCCTCAAATAATCTCTCCTTGTATTTACAGAAAAGATAAAACAAATCATTCATTGAACTTAAGTTCTGTTTCATGTTTTCCAGAATCATCCCATTCATATTTCTTTAATCCCTGTCTTAGAAAAAGCAAGCACTGAGCTCCTTTCCAAGGCTAATTGCCACAACTGTACATTGCTATCTTCTCTGTCAGCTTCTCTCACTTTAAAGAACTGTTCCCTAGCTGGGCGCTGGTGGCTCACGCCTGTAATCCTAGCTACTCAGGAGGCAGGGATCAGGAAGATCACAATTCAAAGCCAGCCTGGGCAAATGGATCCATGAGACCCTATCTTGAAAAACCCTTCACAAAAAATAGGGCTGATGGAGTGGCTCAAGGTGAAAGCCCTGAGTTCAAGCCCTAGTACCACAAACAAAACAAAACAAAACAAATTTGTTCCCTAGCCCAGCAAGTTTCCAGATTACACATAAAAAGTATACAACAAGGAATGCAATGCTTCCAGAATTTGTTCTTGAACTGCCACATCTGAAGACTTTCCTGTCTCTGGCCATTTCTGTCTCTGGATTCTTCGGGCATCCTCATATATCTTGATGAATTATAAAGTTACCTTCATGGGTAATCAGTAACCTTTGGATTTTCCCCCTGATTTTTGGTCCTGTTTCTTCCTCCAGCTGGTAACACAAAAAGATTGCCATTCACATTGCTTCTCTATCATTTTTGTACCACTTTTCAGGAAGTTTCCACCAAGTTCTGTGCTAGTCTAGGGTAGAACCATCAATCATCCACTATGACAGGCATTTAATCTCTCCCTCACCATCAGCTCCCATTCCTAAGGCTATAAACGTGATCAAATTTCTGACATTCTAAAGAAATTTCCCTCTTGATGTTGTCTGCCCCTCCAGTTGCCACCATCAACTCTCGTGTCTTCTTCATGGGTAGTAGTGTGTGTGTGTGAGTGCTGTCTCTTCCTGTCGTTCTCTTCCACCTTCATAGTCAAACTCCTAAAGGGATAATCAACTCTTGCTGCCTCTTCTTCCTTTTATTCCTCAACATGTCTGTCTGCCTGCCTACAACTTACCCCCTGCCTTTACTTACGTAGGGCACAGAAGTAATTTTGCTCCTGGAATCCAATGCCGAAACTTTAGATGCAGCTGTACTTCTTGGCACTTACCAATTCCACTCTTCATCAAATCAGTGAAAGCTAC